TATACAACAATATTTTGTTCAAACTGTACGTGAGTTTGAACTGTGTCACTTCACAGTTTACGATACCTCACAGTCTGTCTCGCATGCCACTTCTCGAAGCAGTCCGTGACACACAGCGCAACATCACACTTTTTGCCATAGAAAATGGTGCTCCTGCTTTTCTTATTTAGTGAAACACACGAAAACGTCTGCATTTCTCTTTGGTTGGTCAGTGTTGTGAATATTTCACCTCCAGTCGACTCAGTTGGGCCCGAGATAACCTTGGCCTCCCCCGAGAAACGCCACTGACCGTGATATTCACCTTGTGTGATTGAAGAATCATCTTTGGGGGTAGGGGGCTTCCAGGAAAATTGAATAAACTATGTTGATTGACAAAGTGACACTCTCACCTGTTAGTAATACTTGCAAAATAGTGATACAAAGTAATTATAATACTAGTCAAAAAGATTGCCAGTCCGACATTGATATCAAAAGTCACAATGATGAAGATGCCCTTTACTCACAAAGTAATACTGGCTCAGTAGGTTTATACCTCTTCCAAGACACAAAATAAAAATGATATACAAAGAAATATATGACAGTCTGACACTGACCTTTTAACTGATAAAGAAATATTAGACAATCCGACACTGACTTCCTAACTGATAATTCGCCACTGAAAACCAATCCTTGAATGTGTCACACTTCCTTGAAGGCTCTGGAAGCACTCTTCTGCAAGCACCAATAAATATTTCCTCATCAGTTCTCGAAACAAAGCTGGGCTATATTTGGCTGAACAGGTCATAAACAGTCGTATCTAAACATGAATAGTATCGAAACCAGATAAACGATTTCATTGTTCAGAGCTAACAAATGTACCTCTGACATGACCTTGCATGGGTTTGTTTTGGTTTGAAACCCAAGATCAAACTGTCAGCACTCCCAAAGAGCATGTGTCCTGCCGCATATATATATATTGTAACATGTTGGGTTACTGAATACGCCATAGAGATTGTTAATTGGTTTATTCAGCAACCTACCAGTAACGGCTACAATTAATTATAACAATGTTACGGGTTTCCACACTTTACAAACCCTACAACAAAACCTCTTAACACTATCCTCAAGAGTATTCATGTATTAATAACGCAGGAGCTATACAAGTCTCTCTGTATCGCACACACCAAATTATTACTCGGTTATCACAACGTAACACTGATTCTCGCACATGCGTCCGTAACTCATACTCATTACTTGTAACTGCTTGTAAATATGCGTTTGGGTCTTCTTACCGCGACTGCTGCTATATTTCAACTCTGCTCACAGGCTGCTGCCTTGAGAACTGTTGATAACACACTGGCTCTTGCTTGCTGCTCAGCCGGCTTTTATTCCGTTCGCTGTTACGTGTTGCCTGCGTCAACAGCGTCGTTGCGTGCCACGTCACAATAGGAAGTGGTGCCGCGTCACAGTAGGAACCGGTGCCATGTCGTCATGTTGCGTCACCGCGGAGGGGGAGGGAGGGAGCGCTGACTTATCCGCCACATCACTGTGGCCTGAGTTGCCACGTTGCTGCTGGGTAGGGAGGGGTTCTCCGTTGCGCAACATGTCACAATATATGTTTTGTGACATTTTGTGCTATGGAGGACATCCCCTCCCCCGCCAGCGGTGACGTAACAACATCGGGTGCTGTCGCTACTACGGTAACAGGCCAGTCAACATTCCAGCCCCCTGCCCCACTGTGATATAGCGGACGATGCCACGGTTGCTATGCAGCAGTAAGCATACTCGACAGTGTTGCCCAGCAACACCTGTAAATACAGCGACTAGGCAACAAGGAAGCGAGGCATTTTCCTGTTGTCTGACTGAGGGTTTATAAGAGAACTACAAAAATGCAGCAGCCACCGAAGACAGTTGAAATATAGCAGCAGTCGCAGAAAGAAGACCCGAACACATGGTTAGAAGATCTTATGTGATAGTGTGCGGTAACTGAGAAGTCGGCAAGTGAAGACTTATTGTGTGACTTCAAGATTGTGTGCTGTAGTACAGTTATATTGGGAATGTGTAATTAAGAGAGACTTGTATAGCTCCCACGTTATAAATACGTGAAGACTACTGAAGAGATTATTGTGTAGGGTTGTAAAGTGTGTAAACGCATAACAGTGTTATAAGTATTTGTAGTTACGATTTGTAGGTTGTTAAATAAACCAATTAACAATCCGAATGGTGTCTTCAGTAGCAAAACACGTTACAATATATACGTAGGTCGTACCGAAAATCATGAGCAAGTTTTTTTTGCATGCAACCTGGGAACAGCAGACGAAAGAGAGTATGGTGGTAGGTGGCACCGGCTGTTGTGTTAACCTTGAGTGTCTTGTGACGTCAATAGCTTGCATCACGTGACCAGCATCGCTCCTAACAAAATGGCTGACAACAATGTATCATTTCGCCAGCATACTGTCATTGAATTTCTTGTGAAAGAGGAAATCCCTGCTGCGGAAATTCACCAGAGATTTCAGTGTGCTTATGGAAGTGTGTGCATGGGTGCGAGTAGTGTTTGAAGATGGCTGAAACATTTTAAAGATAGGAACACCACCATCGAAGATGAGCCTTGGAGCGTTTGTCCTCGAACAGCCTCAACTGAACGCAACAAGGAAAGAGTGGATGAGATCATTCAAGATGACAGGCATGTGACTGTGGACACAGTAGCCCAAAAACTTGGAATAGAGCATAGTGCAGTACAGTAGATGATTGAAAGCTTGGGCTATAGGAAAGTTTGTGCTCTTTGGGTCCGGCGGTTATTGACTGAAGACCACAAAGGTCAGTGAAAAGCCACCACCTCAGAACTGCTGCCGAGATATCGACATGAAGGAGATGATTTTTTGCTTTATATTGTGACAGGTGACGAAAGCTGGTTTCACCATTTCAAGCCTGAAACGAAATGGCAGAGTATGGAATGGCACCATTTGCATTCTCCATCAAAAATGAAGGCAAAAACAGTGCCATCAGCTGCAAAGGTGATGGGCACAGTCTTCTGGGATGCAGAGGGGTATATTCTGGCCGAATTCCTGGAGCTTGGGCAAACCATCAATGCTGCTCGTTATGTCCAGACACTACACAAGCTCCGTCGTGCATTGCGCGATGAGGGTCCGGGACGAAACATCATTCTGCATGACAACGCTTGCCTCCCATTGGAAGCAGTTTCAAAGATGGGGTGGGAAGTTCTTCCACACCCCTCCTGTAGCCCTGATCTGGCACCCTCCGACTACCATCTTTTCGGATTTGTGAAGGATCAGCTGCATGGACGACGTTTTGAGACAAGGGAGGCAATTCAAAATGCAGTGCGTCAGTGTCTTCGGATGGCTTGAACAGAATTTTACAGAAGGGGAATTTTCAGACTCCCAGAATGCTGGGAGAAATGTGTACAAAGAAGTGGCGATTATATGGAAAAATAAAGAAAGGTCTGTAGATTGAGGTGGTGTATTTGGTTTGTCAATAATAAAGCATGTTACTTTACAAAAAATTGTTGCTCATGACTTTCAGTACAACCCTCGTGTATATATATAACATTCGGCCAACACGGGGTGCTGCTTGCTGCGTAACATTCGGCCGTTAAAGGTTAATGTTAGAGATTCAAAGATTATGTTACATTTAAGCTATATACATTTTAATCGCTTTGGAATACAGGCTGTTACTTCCTCAAGGCATCAGCTTGCAGTATGTTAAGTACAATAAGTTTTAGTAACCACTGTATGCCTGGCCCATGAAATACTATTAAGTTTGTCTATCTCTGCCTTAGAGAGGTGGTCATTTTTTGCTGTTCTTCAAAACTTGTTAAGAAGGTGGTACCTACCACCTTAGCTTCAGATATTTCATGATATATATTATGCTAAATTCATTGCTCTGCAGCAACAGATAGAGGAACTGGAAGAAAGGTTACAAAAGGAAACATCAGCCCTGAAGAAGCAGCTTCAAGACACGGAGGAGCAGCTGCATAGAATACAGCAACATTCTTCCGTTGTGGGTGATGTAGTTGGGCATGTTATGCAGCCAGCTGAATCAAACATGTTGAATACACCTTCCAAACATAATGCCAGCCCTCACTGGAACAGCAGCACAGTGGGATTCATACCTGTCCGATCTGGAGTCATAATGAACCAGCAAGACTCGGAAAACAAGCTTGAAATAACATTACTTGAGAGAGAAGAAGGAGAGGTAATTCACCTCATAACTTGATACTATTAAACTGGTTTTTGCCCTTACCCATCTTCCCTATCTGTTTTATTTTGTTTATAGGAGAATTTCAGAAGTTAGGCTCCATGCATTTAAAACTTAGATGCGATAGCAGAGTGACTGTGTGAGAACTGTTACACTGTGCGTACATTTCTTGCTTTATTTCTCTGATATCTGGAGATACATAAAATTTCATTACTTGTTAATTTTTATGTCAAATCAAAATTAATGATTTCTTATAATTTCATGTGTGTACAGGATTAATAGGTCAATAGGTACTACAGGAATTTTTATGTTTTTTAAACAAATTTTATTTACTGTGGTGTGATAATTATTTCTTATTGAGTGTATGGGTTACCTATAGCTTTGATCAGTTTTTTCTTGAATTAAGCCAGTTTCTACTGAATTATAGTTCTCCAGTTTTTGACAGAAAATGAAGCACCATCAAAACTTGGTGGATGATAATATGTTTCTTGCCTGTATAGGGTTCAGAGAGTGTGGACTCTACTCCTCCACATCTGTCTGCATCACAGGAACGTAGAACAGAATTAATTCCACTGGAAAAACTTCTGTCATCTCCAGCTGATGATGAAAACAATGGTAAGTCTGAATTCTTATAAGAACATATATTGGGATAAGCAAAATTTTGTTATGTATGAATTTTAAGTATTCTTTATAACATGATCACTAGCTGAGCCTCATGATATATTTTACTTGCCAGTCTTGTTACGTAGCAGTATGGTTGATACCCTGGTCATTCTTGCTATAAAAATAAGTTATTTAGAATTCCACCGTTAACTGGAAGGTTGCGAATTTGTTTCTTGGCGAGGTCATTCAATTTTTCAATTGACCTAATCCTTCTAGCCACACTATGGCCGTGGGGTCAACTCAGTCTCTAACAGAAGTAAGTACCAGGAATTTTCCTGAGGCTAAAGGTTAGCGAATGCATAAAGCTGACAACCTCACTGCCATCTGTGAGCCAGTTGTTTAGAAAATGTGGCAGCCTCGATGTCTCACAACTGTGTGCCTCCATGGCCTGTAACAAGAATAGCTTTACTTTTTTTTTTATCATGTGATACCAGGCTTGGGAGAGGATTTATGATGTCTAATATGCCTCTTTATCTAAACATACAATTTAAGTCAATCACATTTTCTTTACATTCACTGTTAACTTTGAAGGTAGTTTTCATGTAATACTTTTGTAATTTCATGTTGTAACTCTTGGCAGTGGTTGTATAAAACCAGGCAGTCAGAATTGCCAGTAGATAGTGTTTCAAAAATTACTTTTAAGTTTTGTGACCTGCCTGTTCAGACACTGTGAAGTGTGTAGTAATAACCATTCATAATCATGACATTCTTAAGTATAAATATTCATATTTAAATATCAGATTTCAGTCAAAGAATTGTGATATTTCAGACATTGATATTTATTAAATGCAGTAAAAGATAACAGTTTTTGACTTACAAATGACAGTGTTTTTCTTTGACATATTATAAGCTGCAGATAATGCAGCATATTTTTGAAGCTGATTGACAGAAGGGATGATTTCTTAGTCTCTTTGTTCACGCAGTCTTAGCCTCTTAGATTTATTTTTGGGGGAGGTTTATGTAAAGAACAAAACATATGCCTTAATAGTGGAGTTGCAGTGACATTTATGAGGAGGATTGTTGTAATCTGTATCTGTAGTTGCCCAAGTTATGTCAGACTGCATCTGACAACAACTGAATTATGGGTTGGATGTGTGCTGTGCTGACTAACTCAACTCCATGGATGTAAGTCTGTCGTGAGAATCCAACAGTTGCTGTGCTGTGTTACAAAGTTCATTTTTAAGTAGTATACCCAGAATAAACAAATTACACGATTGTTAAAAAGTCACATTTATTTTAGTGTTCCATCCGTCACGTGCAATAAAAATATTCACGCGGTAGCGTAGTTGGTTGAGGGGCTATGCTACAAGCCAGAAGGTCATGGATTCAAGTCCATAAAGTGTGGCCGGCGCATAAGGTTGACAACCTTACTGCCATCTATGAGCCGATTGTCTAGATAGTGTGGGACCCTCAACATCTCACAACCCTATGGGCCTTCATGGCCTGGTACAGGGATAATTTTACTTTTTTTTTTTTTAATTCCAGCATTCTTTTATTTCAGTGTTTTGACACAGCTGATCAAGATGGGGAGAACGTTCTGTTGTACTTTTCATCTTTGTGGGTTGAAGTATCTACAATTTTCCCTTTACTGTTCTCTATGTGGGACAGTATTGCAAGTTGAAATAAGGGAAGGAGGGGGATTGAATAAAAGAGGTTGGAAGGTAAATTACTGAAAAGTAGATTAACTTTGAATACGTCATACTTCTCTCATTCATGCGACTGGCACAGACACAACATGAGCTATCCATAAATGAAACATGCTAAGAAACAGAACAGTACATATTCACATGAAAAAGTTATGCCTAGAATAGGATATGTTTATGCTAGCTAGACCTGCATAGAGAGGTGTGTTCATACGATATTCTGAATGAAGGAGAAACTTACTTGGATTGGTTAGTATTTTATAAAACTTAAATTATAGACGTTCATTGTATCAGTATTTCACTTTGTGAGTATGTATGCATATATGAGTTCGTACATTTCGTGTGCATGTACTCAGACTTTGTACACACTTATTTTATCCTTTTCAGTTTCAACAGTTAGTGCTTCACCAGGTGTAGAACTGAGTCAAACTAAAGAACAATTGGTAGTATCAGAATGTCGTATCCGACATTTAAGTGGACTGCTAAGTGAAGCAGAACGTGATCTGGCAAAGCTGACTCAACAGAATCAGGTGCTAAAGGATGAGATCCGTCGGCAGCAGAGAAGCGTTGAAAGGGAGCAGCATGCACAAAATTTTGAGTACCTCAAAAATATTGTTCTAAAGGTAGGAAAAATAAAGATAATAATATAAGATAAGATAATAATGCCCATAAGAAGCATTTAAGGGAAATAATTAAAGTACCCATTCTCTCCTCATTCTCCTTCTAGCATTGTTTCCACTTTACAGAGCCAGTCTCTTTGTTCTTCTCCCAGCCCTTTTCAGTTTTTTATAACTCTTCCCTCTGTTCTTGAAGTTTTCCTGTACCTGATGGAACCATCTTTTTGTGGGTCATTCCATGGATTTGTTACAGGCCCAGCAGCCCAACAGTGGGTTTAAGAATACTTTAAAAATAGTGAAAGTATCATTAAGTACTGCATTATGTAAATGAATGGATTGTGACTGAATTCAGCATGGTTATGGAAGTGTGTGCATGGGTGCGAGCAGTGTTTGAAAATGGGTGAAACATTTTAAAGATGGGAACACCAGCATCAAAGATGAGCCTCGGAGTGGTCATCCTCAAACAGCTTCAATTGAACGCAACAAGGAAAGAGTGGATGAGATCATTCAAGATGACAGGCGTGTGACTGTGGACACAATAGCCCGAAAACTTGGGATAGGGCACAATGCAGTACAGGAGATGATTGAAACCTTGGGCTGTAGGAAACTTTGTGCTCGTTGGGTCCCGCGGTTATTGACTGAAGACCACAAAGGTCACATTGGAAGCAATTGCAAAGATGGGGAGGGAAGTTCTTCCACACCCCTCCTATAACCCTGATCTGGCACCCTCTGACTACCATCTTTTCGGATTTGTGAAGGATCAGCTGCGTGGACAATGTTTTGAGACAAGGGAGACAATTCAGAATGAAGTGCGTCATTGTCTTCAGATGGCTGGAACAGAATTTTACAATAGGGGAATTTTCAAACTCCCAGAATGCTGGGAGAAATGTGTACAAAGAAGTGGCGATTATGTGGAAAAATAAAGAAAGGTCTGTAGATTGAGGTGGTATATTTGGTTTGTCAATAATAAAGCATGTTACTTTACAAAAAATTGTTGCTCATGACTTTCAGAATGACCCTCATATATAGGACCTTCCAAAACATCTTTGAAAGTCATTAACCTCGAAGATGGCAACTGCATAATTTGTCAAAACACTGAGAAACCGTAGTTGTGCCTAGTCATGAAAGCTAAAGCCACATGTTAAAATCATTCAAATGTTTGAATTCTACCCAATGCTGCCTCTCCAAAATTGTATGTTTAATGTGATGTAGGGTTCCATAGCAGTTTTTCTGAGTTTGAAATGACTGCAGATGCACATTCACATACACACAAACACACAGTGTTCTTTAAATATATTAAAAAATTCAGCATTACATACATCTTTAACATCCAGCAGATTTTAAATTAATGGCAGTTTGTTTCATCACATTGTATTTTACCATCATATAGCAGAGGAATTTGTACTGTGCACAATAGTGTCACCTTACAGACAGTTCAGAGATCTATTGATCACGCCTATAATGATAGAACATTACATAAATAAAGTGTATTAATTTTGGTATGACTTGACAACTTTATGTTCCTTCTGATAGTTTGTGACGCTCCAAGGTGGCGATGAAAGGTCACGTTTAGTTCCTGTTCTCAACACTATACTCAAACTTAGTCCAGAAGAAACCAGCCAACTTAACATAGTGGCTAAGGGTAAGTTTAATCATGTCATAAGTCTTATATTGGTAGTATCCTTGAAATATAATAATGTGACAAGTCTAACCATTGGTGGGCAATGGGAGGTGGAAGGAGTTACCACGAAGACAGACCCATGATAAACGGTTGGTTGCCAAGTTACGCAACAGTAAAGAAAGTGGTGTTTGTCCGTGCTGAGCCGAGCCGAACTGCACTGGTTGCTATGGAGCGTTGCCCAGCAACGCCTTTGTAAACACTGCATCACGCAACAAGGGAGCCTGTGCAGCGACTGTTGCTAGGCAGTTGGTAAACACGACATCGCACAACACTGAAAGCTATCACGTAACTATTTTCTCTGTTGTCAGTGCGTAAGCTACATAACAGGAGTATTCGTCAGTGAGAGAGAATTACCAGTCAGTTGCAGTCTAGCATTCGCCGGAGTGAGTTGAAGTCCATTGTTATTGAGTTGTATCGATTGAATGGCAGTGACTCCAGCAGGAGAAGTAATTGTAATACTGCTGATGGCAGTAATTGGGAGATTGTAAATTTAGTAAATGTAAGAGCGAGTGGAATAAATTTGCTTGATCCAAGATGGCATGAAGTTATTTGTCGCGTTACATACCCAACACGTGACAATAATTATCAATATTTGGAGCAGTTACTGCCCCCACCATCCTTGACCATTTATGATCTTGAGATCAGTTCTTTGTTCGCTTGTTACACCACAGTATGGTGCTCTCTTACTTTTACTCCACTGATCTTCATTGCACTGAATTAAAATCTCAAGCTTTGGACAGGGTCTTGTTGGAGTAAGCCTGTACATGCTCCTGACCCTCCAGTAGTTGTGACACCACACCTTGAAATTCCATGGGAATCTTAGAATGGGTCTCACACATTACCTCTTCAAGGACCAGGAGGTGGCTTCAGCTTCTGGATACCATTGAAATGTCAGCTTCTCTTCAGTGATTTGGGTCAGTAGCTTTGTGGTGTTCAAAAATACAGCTTGGAACCTTTGGTAGTAGGTACAGAGACCAGTGAAGTTCATCTTGTTTTGGTCTTTCTGTGGTGACTCCTGTACAGCCATCAACTTCTGTGGGTCTTAAGTTACTCTGTTTGACACTACAGTATGTCCAAGGTACCACACCTTCTTGTGGAACATTTAGCTCTTCTTGGGGCTCAGCTTAAAGTTGCCCACTTGAAACCTCTGGAACAATTTGCACAGGTTATCAAGCTTCAGATAAACAACTGGACAGCAGTGATCGCATCATCCAGGCACACCAGGCAGGCTTCATAAGTAATGCCCTGCAGGGTGGATTTCATCAGCTACTTGAATGTTACCAGAGCATTTCAGAAACCAGAGTTCATAGAACTGCAACAGCCCTGATGTCACTTGTTTTGCTTCTTTCTTGATCTTGGTTGGCTGTCAGTTTGTTTTCATAGGCCACCATTCTGACTTAGCCAGCTGTCGGTTGATCTTGGCTGACATTTCAATTTATTTAATTGCTCCAAAATTTCTTGTAAAGCTGAATCCATCTTTCACCAGATTCTGACACCAGTTGTAACAGGTATTGATATTTGGAGCAGATACTGTACACAGCATTCATCACTACTACCGAGTGAATTATTTAATGAGGTCTTCGGACTGGTGTGTGTGGAGGTTCACACCTTTATTTCCACTAAGGGGATGCCTGAACTTGATCATTTAGAGGAAGTAAAACTCATAAAAGAAGTTTCCATAGGTGAAACTGTGGAAGGATAATTAGTGGCACAGAGATTGTGATTCAACAGGGAGGCAAGATCAGCACATATTCATTGAATGAAGTGTGAACAGTGAAAGGGAGGCATGACTCACAGTGGTACGTACAGGTTCCTGCTGATGGCTATCAATATGATTGTAATTGATATTTTCATAATTTATAATATAGTAGGCTGGTAGAATATATTGTGGGATGTAGACTTGTTACTAGGCAATGACCATGAAATAAGCAGCTGTACAACAGTCACTGCTAAGTAATGGCTCTGCTGGTCAGTGGCTGAGTAGTGATCACGTGGGAACTCCAGTAGACATGAATGTGACAGCTGCACAGCAACAGAGGAACGGTGTTTTCTCTGTAGTCCATACAGAGATGTTATAAGCAGGACAAGTTAGTGAGCAATCAGTCTGTCAGTAGAGTTAGTGAGTGAGTTAGAGGATTGCTGCAGTACAGTTATTGTGAGCTGTTGCTCTAGGAAGCTGGTAGCTGATTCCAGGGACAGTTCAGGAACCTAGAGGAAGTGGAGTGTCTGCTGTTGGAAGCCACTACCATGCAATGGCAGTGGAGACTTGACTGTGGACATTGATGTTTGTGTAATAGTGAACTGTAAAGTGTAGTTACATGCATATCAAAGTGTGCAATAAATCTGGTCATCAATCCAAAACCCGTCTGTAGTCATACTCCATCATGTGACAGTGCAAAAGAAGTGAGGAGTTTGTATGTGTACTTGTGCATGTGCATGCATTTGTATATATGAGAGAAATGTGGGGCAGTAAGAACTTGAAGAATATTTATTATTACTAATTTATGTGCAATGATTATATTTATTGATACCTATTTATGCTGTTGGCAGGTGGTCCTGATCTCCAAGCTGGTGGAAGAGGATGGGGTAGCTACTTACATCTTTGGTCAGGCACACAGTGACTTTGCACAAAGTGCCATTGAATGGCCAGGATTATTTATATTATGGAGATGACATCATCACAGCAATGTGTATTAGTGGTGGTTAGTCTAATTTCATATTGCCTTTCCTAAATTATTTGCATCCTTCATTTGGTCTGCTATGTCATTTGCACAGAAATTATGTCTGTGGCAAGATGATGCTGGTGACTGAGCTAACTTCATGGGTACACTGCTAGTGGGTCCTGAAGGTGATAGTGATGTCCAAGTAGAGTCATCGAATATAAGCTTTTGCGTGATACTTCTGTACATAATTTATTGTTTAATTGGCAAACAGTTGTTTGTAAAGTTACAATGCTCAAGTAATATTCTTTGAGGTATAAATGTATGTGTACATAAAATATATCTATACTCATTGTCAAGATGAACCAATTCAGTAACACGTGCACATGTAAATAAAATTCATATTGTCATATGACTGAATTTTCATTCATTTTATGATGTTGGCAGTATCCAAGACTGTATATTGAACAGTGAACTGGAAAAGATTTTCGAAGAAAATGGTTATTGTCTACTTGAGGTACCATCCTGGCATATTCCTCAAGGGAGAGACAAAGTGAAAACTGCAATCAAGGTAGCCAGTGTCCCAGCTGAGATTCGAACCCAACACCTCATGAATACAAGTGTAAGAGGGTTACCACAACACCAAACTGCTTGGTATATATCAGGAGTGCTGTGCTTGAATGAAAATAATGAAAATGATAATCATAATATTTTTCTTGTCAGATGTATAGATCCACATTTTCTTGACCTTGGTGCTAGTTGTAGGTGAGTGTTCAGTTTCATGCCGTGGGGAAAGAGCCCCCAGTACCCATTGGATAGGAGGCAGGGTGGGCCCCACAACTGGTCTGGATGACATGGAGAAGAGAAAATTCTTGCCCTGACTCACATTCGAAATCTGACCCCTCAGTCATCCAGCCAGTAGCTGTACTGCCTACACTATCCCAGCTCCAAATGCAAATAGTTAAGTGTATTTATGTGTTTGAATACACTTCAATCTTATCTACATAATCTTGTAAAAGTGTTTAAAAAAAATTGCTGTGTATTAATCAAGCAAGAATTCAGTTGCACTTTATCTGAACAATTTACTGTGTCCTAGCCCCTGCACCCTCACCTCCAGCTAGTGCCGAGGTCAAGCAAATGTGGATCTATACATCCACTCCCCCATATGCCTTCATGGCATAGTGCTTAATTAGTTAAGCACAGGGACAATTTTACCTTTTTTTATCTTTTTACCCCCTGCACCCTAGTACAGTATGCGCCAAAATTACGTCCTGTTGATACCACTGTCTATTCATGTGAAGGCCCCTTGCATGACAGAACCTTTTCAGATCCTGAAGAAATGGTCCTATCACCATGTCCCTATAGTGTTCTTGGGTGATGGTAAGAGCATTGCTTTCCTCATCCTCAACGAAATAGGGGCCTAATGTACCATGTGCTGAGAAGGCACATCATATCGTCACGTGTACTATGTCGCGGTTTCTGGATGATAACATCTGGCCACTCAAAACCAAGGAAGCAAGTTGTCTGGCGACCACTTCCATATGAGTAGAAATAATACTCAACTAAGAATACTTTTTCCTCCGTTGAAAGACCCATTTCCAACAACTACACAACAGAACTTCCTTTTCACTACTGGGAACATGTGCGGCTGGAGCTATGTCCCGTCAACAAACGCACATGTGCATTCGAGATGCACAAGTTTCAGTACTTCAATTTTTGGCGCATACTTTATTATCACTTATAGTAAACTCATGCTTTAGCTTACAGAGTTTCTAGGTAACAGTGGCTGGGGATTCAAAGTAAACCAAAGTTATAGCTCACAGGCATTGGCCACTGGGTTAAAGAGAGAATTTTATACAACCTATATAGAACAGTTCATCATTCAAGGTCCCACTTCATCCAGTAACTTTACTTGAAAAAGCTGAAGAAATTTACTGCAAATAATAAAGTAACTCGTCTGATATTTTATGAGTACCTGTATGTGAAAGAAAAGCATAATTTTATAAAACCACTGTAACAGAATAAGATAACTAGCTATTAACCAGTAGATTAAAGAAACTATTGTCAAACAAACTGGCATTGTTACATGCTAAGACACACCGAGCAGGATATTACTGTGTAAAAATCACAAAAGGTGTTACAGTCTAATGTTTTTGTCAGAACTCTGAACACATTTGAATTTGTTAAAGAATCAGTGCTGGTAAAAGAATTCTAGACAATGGAAGCATATTCAAGTTTTGTACTATCTAGGCTTATGTAGCGCATCAACAAACTATCTAATGAAGAGAAGGAGAAAGTAATAGTCATGTTAGGCCTAACAACTTTATGCAATCATAAAATAAATAAGAAACATTCTGATGGAAGTACAGTTAGAGCCATGAAAACACGAAGGTCAGTGATAAAATCTGTAAACCGTATTCCAGAGATGTAAAGAGCACAGTTAAAAATCAAAATATAGTTTTTCTGGAGAAGGAACTTGTTTTACTATCATTGAGCCTCATATGGTTGGTTGTATACCAATACTGCACAGAGATAACATCTGCTTGCACAGGAAGGAGGTCAGCAATAGAGGTGATAGGGTAAAAATATTTTATATAAGAAAAACAGAACATCAGTGTTTAATTTTGGTACTTAAATCAATGTATATATTAACAAAGGTCCCAGAACAGAGCCTTGAGGAACACTGGACAGCACAATTAAGAACAATGAACAAGCTCCAAAAAAAAAAATGAATGTAACAGAGTTTGTTGCAAAGTCACATAACATAACTAGTAGGCAGGCCATAACTACTAAGCCTCTCAAAAAGCAAGGAATGCAAAATGAAGTCAGAGGCACCATTGGGATCAAAATAGATGGAATCAGATTGTCCCTGTGAACATGCATGGAAGTAGTGACAATGAGAAAAGTAAAGTGGTAGTAGTTCTGGTTTTTGTAAAAGCATGCTGAGTAGAATTAAACTTGTTATCTTCAGATAATGGGAAATATTCTCATGAATGATAAATTCAAATACCTTAGAAAAAGCACTGATGATGGCAGGAGACCTGTAGGTATCAACTAAGTTTAAAAATAAACTTCAGTAAAGAGGGTAAAATATCAAAGCAATCCTCTCCAACAAAGCTAGGGATTGCATCCAATCTGATGTCATTGGCTTCAATTGCATGATAGCTTTGTAAACAATATCATCATGAACAAAAGCTCAAGTTAAAATACCATTACACTGTAAAGACATGGACTCCTGCACAACCCAAGGAGTAGCAACTTTAACAATGTGAGAACTGCCAACCAGAAAATTATGATTGTCTTTATCCTTCCTAAATTTAAGTACACAACTCCAAAACTGTTTTGGTTGGTACTCAAAATTATCATCTAGTTAAGTCAACTAAGTTTGTTGACTTTATGGTTAATTCCATTATTTACAGCAGTTGGAATACTTAGAGCTAATTTTCTTATGTCTAGAAATAAAGTTTTCCTTCTAATGTAATACATTAATGTACCAGAATACAAGAGAAAATTTATTAATATGAGAATAAGAATAGCAGAGCCTTAACATAATTTACAGCTGTGTTTAAGCAGTCTCTGGCAAGATCAACAAAAATTTGGCTGTGGTCACAAATCCAGTTGTAGTTTGATAGAGAAATTCTTGCACCATTCCTTAATATTTTCAGTCTGGTGGTTAAGGCACTATGCTACAAGTCGGAAGGTCGCGGGGTCAAATACCGATGAGGTCATTGGATTTTTTCAATTTACATAATCCTTCTGGCCGCACTATGGCCCTGGGGTTCACTCAGTCTCTAACAGAAATGAGTACCAGAAATAAAATAAATAATTTTCCTGGGGAGTAAAGCACGGCCGGCGCGTAAGGCTGACAACCTTACCGCCATCTTTGAGCTGATTGTCTAGATAGTGTGGGACCCTCAACATCTCACAACCCTATGGGCCTTCATGGCCTGGTACAGGGATAGCTTTACTTACTTTAACTTTTACCTGTCGCAGGCCCATCAACCAAAAAAATCATAAGGAAAGCCTTTGAAGAGTAGTGAAAACCAAACTGTTAGTATGTTTCACAAATTTTCTCAAAAAATGCCCATTGTTAATAATGGATACATGACAAGACATAGCGATGTCGGGATGTAAATATATGGTTTGATGATGGATCCTTCATATTCATATCTTTATTTGTTCCAAAAATCTGTAATTGGCCATGCAGTCTTCAGAAATAGTACAAGTCAAGTTCTATCATATGTCACCAGTACTACAATATGAGTACTTAACTGCATACACAAATTATGTACATCTCACAACATACCATATACATCTATAAAACGAGAGATGCCAAAACTGGATACAAAATTTCTATTACCAGAATAAGCACTGTATCCAGAGTTATAAAAATTAAATGAAAACATGTTCTTTATCATTCAAGAGACAATGATTGTAGAGGCTCAAATTCGAGATGGGAGATTGTAAGGCATTACCCAAAATGTTCGCGACTTGCGAAAAGCGTTTCACAGTTATTACAGTAATCTGTCAACACCTGGACAGGCAAATAGGTTAAGAATGTTGATGCTCAGCAAGTATGTGTACCCACAGTAGCAAGAAGCTTGCCTCACTTGGTCACTGGAGTATCGTAATAGTACCGCATACACAGCGATGAGACGCCAGGGGTCCGCTTGAGGTTGGGTGGGATGCGGCGGGATGGCATCCCGGTTCTTTCCTAAATGGCTTGAAGGCATCCCGTTACTTCTTTGGCAGTAAATGCAATGTACAATACCTTTTGTTGTTGTTGTTATTGTTGTTGTTATCTGTTTCATGGTTGTACAGGCTACTCCCCTGCGTCGTCTAACTAAATTTTGCTTTCATGTGGTACTGTTTGAAGCACCCGAGAATGCACAGTCCCATATCACATTTCTCGCACTTCGTCTGAACACGTTTCCTCTTTCCACATGCAGAACCATCCCGGTTCTATTTTCATTCCACTTCAAGCACTGTATATATATCAGACTTTCAAGGTTCATTATATTTGTTCAGTTAATTTATTATTTTGGCCACATTATTGTGTTTAGTATAGAATTTGGAAACATGAGCATGTTTCAGATCATGATTTATATCATGATATAAATTTTTTATGTGACTTGAGAAATGTGCATCAAATAAGTTCATTAATGCAAACGTATAACTTGTTTTATATTGTGGACTTCCCAACTAGGATTGTAAAAGAATCCTGCACGGCCATTGATAATATTTTTTTGCACTATAGTAGAGTAAATACATATCATGTGCACTCTGTAAAAAATGATCTATCAGATCATGATGCACAATATCTGGTGATAAATAATGTGTGTGGAACTCAGCGGAATAAGAATACACCTGTTAAAAAGAGGTTAATAACTAAGACTGGAGTCATGATGTTTATGGAGGCACTACAAAATGAAACATGGGATATGACCCTTAGTAGTGTGGAGGTAGATGCAAGTTTTAATGCATTCTTAAACACATTTATAGTCATTTTTGAATCATGCTTCCCCATGCAATTTGTGATGGATATGGGGCATAAAAATCAGTGGATAACTGGTGGAATAAAAGTGTTGTGTAGATGTAAAAGATACCTCTACATAATAAGTAGAGTAACTCATCATATTAAAATAAGAGAATATTACTCCTGTTACTGTTCCATATTAAGAAGAGTCATTAGAAAAGCTAAAGAGATGTACTACAATGAAATGTTAATGAAATCCACAAATAAATCTGAAATGTCTTGGAAAATTATAAATAATGAAATTGGTTGTGTAGCTAAAAGAAAAGCTGCTCCGGCAGACTTCAAAAATGGTGAAATCAAAATTGAAATTAATAAAGCAGCTGGGTTTTTTAATACCTATTTTATAGATTCAGTGGAGAAATTAATTAGTCAGTATCCAAAAACTGAGGATGAGTGGTCAGCAACAATAAGTAGTCTTACCGATAAATTACCTGAAATAGTTAATATTCTAATTACAAAGTCAGAAATTTCTGGCGTAATTTCATTACTAAAGAATAAGGGCTCCTGCGGATATGATGGTATATCAAACAAATTCATAAGACTGTGTAGTAAACAAATAACCAAACCACTTATGCATATTTTTAATCTATCCCTAACCACTGGAATTTATCCAGATCGGTTAAAATATGCCAATATTATACCATGCTTTAAGAAAGGTAGTATTACAGAAATATCTAACTACCGGCCCATTTCCTTGTTGACAGGGTTTTCCAAAATATTCGAGATACTAATATATAACAGAGTAATAATTCAATTCAATTTTATTTCATCCATGAATCATTATACATGATATGGGACAAGTCAAAGATTAATATTAATATTAATACTAATACTAATACAGCATTTAACAAACAATAATGTTATTGTAGATAATCAGTTTGGTTTCAGAAAGGGTGTGTCGACTCAAAAAGCTATTTTTACGGTTACTGATTATATTTATAAAGCATGGAACAATAAGGAGATGGTTGTGGGGATTTTTTGTGACCTCACTAAGGCATTTGACTGTGTCAATCATGACCTGCTTGTCCAAAGATTTAAACACTATGGAATAAAAGGATCTCTACTTAAGAGTGCATGAAACATACCTGTATAACAGGAAGCAAAGACTCATACTACAGACTCAAGACTCAATTTCATATGTTTCTAAGTGGAAAACTAGAAACATGGAGTTCCGCAGGGATCTGTACTGGGACCTTTGTTGTTCAATGTATATATTAATGATCTGCCTAGAATTCTAAATGGGTTGACACATACGGTTCTATATGCAGACGACACCACTTTTATTGTCTCTTCACAGGATATTAGTAGCCTTAATAACAAAATTAATTTAGTAAATGAGACATTTATATAGATGGTTCCAAGCTAACCAATTAATACTACATTAAAAAAAACCATGTAATGAAATTTATGACCCCTAAAGCCACAGACTATCCATTACATATAATATATAATGATCAAACACTTAAATTTTCTGTAAATGTTAAGTTTTTAGGTGTGTGCCCGGACAATCATTTGGGCTGGGAAAAATACTCTGATGATGTGATAAATAAGTTGAGTGTTGCAACCTTTGTGCTTAGAAAACTACAGCCTATAGTAAGTAGGCAAGTGTTGAAAATGGCTTATTGTGCTTACTGTCAAGCTCAACTTAAATATTGTGTTATTTTCTGGGGCTCTTCTTCATCATCAATGAAAAGAGTTTTTGTGGCTCAGAAAAGAGCAATTAGAGCAATGTTAATGATGAGGCCTAGAAGTTCTTGTAGAGAGGTTTTCAGATAATTAGGGATACTTACAGTTCCCTGTTTGTTTATATATGCCATGGTCATGTTTGTAATTGAAAACAAAAATAAGTATCCTACAAATAATAGTGTACATAAAATTAACACTAGAGTACAAAATAGACTACACGTCACGTCACAGCTAGACTATCCATTATACAAAAGGGAGTGTATTATACATCCATAAAATTTTTTAATAATTTGTCACATAAATTATATATTTTAAAGGATAATGTTAATTTATTTTAACGAAAACTGAAAGACTTTCTTATCTTGAAAGCTTTCTATTCTGTTGATGAATATGTGACAAATACGTAATTGTATTATATTCCTATTGTATCTAGGTTGTGTCTACTTGGACTTGGTTGCATATCGCAACTACTTATAATTATTATGACGAGCTCAATAAACGGGCAACAGATCTGTGAAGCTATGTATGTATGTATGATGTTTGTCAGAGTTCTGCAATTATTTTATTGCTTTTCATATATTATTAAATGCAATCTTAATCTTGTTAACAAGAGTGTGTATCAGATTCTCAAGTTTCATTATTCTACTGAAACATGATTTATAACACATTAATGTAACTGAAAAGCTATGTTTTGTGTAGCTTTCAAGTATAAGTTGTAAGCAAAGTTATGAAGTTGAATACAAGTATCTCTGATGGAAACAGAATTTTCTTTCAAGTTTACCCACCATCAGCTTTCCTAAGCACAAGTATTCTATATATGTTATAGTTCAAATATCCATTGCATTTCAGTAAGGGGGTGTTGAATTGATGTAAATGAAATGTTCTTATTTTACAGGCACTGGTGAGAAACTTTCTTCCGATAAATAATGTTGCAACCTGATATCTTGTACTGCAGAGGTTCTTACTCTGTTGTGTGTTTTCTGTTTTTGAACTGAGTTTGATATCATTTAACTCATTCTCCTCCAGATGGTTTTGAGCGAAGTGATGTTATACTCAGTTCGAAAACAGAAAACACACAGTGGAGTAAGAACCTCTGCAGTACAAGATATCAGGTTGCAACATTATTTATCTGGAGAAAGTTTCCCACCAGTGCCTGTAAAATATGGACATTTCATTTACATCGATTATTAATTCTAGCTATACGTGTGAACCAGTGATTTTTTGGGAGGGAGCAGTAAAAAAAATGCTGGTGGTATAATAGCGTACTTTCTTACCGACAGCGCAGGTGGTATGATAGCATACCTTCTTACCGACCGAGCCCTCGGCGCTGGTGGCAGCCATTTTTTTATCAAGAGAGTGTTCGCCGGCCACCGCGGCAGCAGTGGCTGTGTTGCCCGCCAATAGCATTGAGTTGCATACCCCTGATTTGGGTTGTACTGCATTTGTAAGTATGTATGTTATGCAGTAGGCCCAGAAATTAATAAGACGACGTGATTGTGTTCTGCTGTTGAGATTGTGCAGTGAATATGGGGAAGGCAAAGAAGTTGAAAATAAGCAGACGTGGACCGAAAGTGTCACTGGAGAAGCAGATTGAAGATGATCATTTTGTCAAACCATCCAGTCGTGTTAAAGTTCGGATAAGGAAGGACGAAGATGAAGAGGTATGTTTGACGCCTTTATTGTGGAGGGTGAAAGTTAATGAATTCAGAACAAATGTAAATAACTATTCCCGAATTTTGTGATGCCCAATTAAGAATTTTCTTGTATTTCCTTGCCGTTTAGTTCAAGAAGCAGACCTTATCTCAGGAGTATATTTAAAATAAACTCCAAAGGTTCTGCTGCAGCTTTGGGCTTGCTGTTCAAAGCTCAGCACCATGGTTGATCACGTAAAAATTCAGTGAAGAATTGTGTAACATTAGACCTCCGCTTTTCCTCAGAACTTTTTTATTATAGCTTAAATGCAGGAAAGTTTTAGGAAATTCTGTATCAGATGCATGGTATGTAACATATGCAGTAAAATAATGCAGCAACAATGCTCCTCTTCATAAAAAGATAAACGTTCTTCAAAGTTCATGCTGTCTTACAGATAATTTATTTTACACATGTTAATGATGAGAATGCCTAGCATGGGTAGCAGTGTTGAAACATGAATAAAATATGTTGTATTTTGTAGGTATATATTGTAATGTGTTTTGCTACTGAAGACGCCATTCGAATTGTTAATTGGTTTTATTTAACAACCTACAAATCGTAACTACAATTATTTATAACACAGTTGCAGGTTTATCCAATTTATAAACCCTACACAATAATCTATTCACTTTATCTTCAATAGTCTTCACTTATTCACAGTACAATATGGGAGCTATACCAGTGTCACTGTATTGCACACTCCCAATACCTTCTCACACTGTCACCTGTAATTGCACGTTCCGGTCTTCTTCACAATTCAGTCGCTGCAACAGAACTCGGCGACTGCTACAATTCAACTGACTCCTTAGGCATTCCAGTTCTCTTATAAACCCTCAGCCAGACAGTGGAAAATGCGCCTAGCTTCCCTGTTGCGTAATCGTCATGTTTACAGGTGTTGCTGGGCAACGCTGCCAAGAGTTGCATATTGCTGCATAGCAACCAGCATGCTATGGCTTGGCTCACTTCGGCTCTACCCGGCACGACATGGAGAAATACCGCTTTCATTACTGTTGTGTAACCTGGCAACCAACTGTTTATCAAGGGTCTGTCTTCGTGGTAACTTGTTCCACCTCCCGTTGACCAGCAATGTTTAGACATGTCACAATATGTATATGCCTCCTGTCATACCATAGATTGTATAGTACATAAAATTGTGTCTGAAAGATTACACCCATACAGAGAAACATGAATGGTATTCAGTATTAGTCCAAGGATTTAACACAGGACCTTCTGAATACAAAGCAGGAGTTCAAGCACCCAACTGCAGTGCTTCATACTATAAGTTAAAGAAGTGGTGCTCCAGCATCTACTCATTATGATCTGTTCTGTTGTCTGTGTAGGTGAATTTGTGCATATGTATGTTTCAGTTTGTGGATGCACATTTGTCTAAACGCATCCTACATGAAGCTCGTAGACAACAGCAAGAGATTGATGATGATGCTGGTAACTCATCATCTGTGTCAAAGACACAAGTTACTAAGCTTGGAGATGCATCTGATGATTCTGGTGATGACGCAGAAGTTCAGGATGACATGGATGGAGACTATTATGAAAATATTGTAAGAACTGAATATATACTTAGGTGTAAAAACTGCCCCTTTTCTTTATTTGAATGTTTCAGAATGAATAATGTTAATAAGACTTAGTAGCATGTTTGCCATTTCTCAAACTACTCTTCAAATTTTTATCAATATACAGAGCAACTTTGACATCACTTAAAATTCACTTTGAATGTCAAAAGAATACAAAAGAATGGCATCAAAATATCATTGAGAGCACTTCATTCTTAAAGCTTAATTAGACAACTGTAAAAGCATGTCAGGAATGATTATTTTAAACCTTTCCACAGACATGTCACATCTCTGTTTTGGGGCATGGAATTATTTACACATAACTTGTAGTCAGTCAGGTGAAATATTCTTACTCATCTTTCCTGTTACACTTTAAGCTAATAGTGTAAAGTTTTCAGCATATGGTAAACTTTTCCCCAAAACTTTGGGGTGTACATCTTTTAGTTTTTGAATTGAGTTAGGGCTCGGAAGAACAGTATGTTTTTTCATTATAGTCATTGTGAAACACCATGTTCAAATGCATACATTTCCAATATGAATTTCAAAGGATAAAATGTACTTCTAGTGCATGTACTAACACATGTGTATATTTTCCCCTAATATGCAGTAAAATCCTGATCTGAAAGTGTAATAAGTTCTCCTGTCAAATGGTTAAGGTGTACATAACATCTAAACATGAACATAGTTTGACAGCTCAGAACTTCACCTGTAAAGAAACATACAGTGATGTTGACGAACATCACTGTACTGATACCATAAAAACTGAGTGTGAGACATCAGTATACATTACAGTACACCATGCCAGATATCAATAAAGTGACATTTTATGATGATTCTCATTAATGAACTTCAGCATAATATTAGTTTTAGTTTTTAATTTTAAAAGTGTATGACTTACATATTTTATATCTTTTATTCATACAAATTGTGTAATTTTCTTTAATATCTGGTGTCCTCCCTGAAAATGGTCATTTACAAGTAAAATGTGTTGGTGTTCTAATACTGTTAATATTACTATTAGTATTCTGTTAGTATTCTAATAGCAATCAGCATAATAAAATTAATTAGATATACTTAGATGGTGACTTAAAATTTTATTTAAATATGTGATCTATTTACTTAACCCTGTAGATGTTTTCTGATCAGAGAGTCTCTGTAATACTTCTTTCATGTAGTTTGGACAAGATTTCTTCTCTAGGTGTGAATATGTCCTGTTCCAGCTGTAAAATTTCTGTTGAATTATGAGATCAAGTGTTCATGTCACAAATCATAATCTTCCAAAAACGGAATTATAAGCTTCTTCAGGTACTTGCACTAATTTAGTGACAACAGAACAATGAAAATGGCAAATATAAAAGTTGTTTTCATTTTTGTGATCTTGGGGGTATCACCAAAATTGAGATGGAGATTTACAGACAGCCAAAGGAATCTTTCATCTTTTACATATTTTGGTCAGAGCAACCATCCTCAGAAGGACATTATAAATACATACAGAAACTGTTATTACAGTGTCATAGGCCATTATCAGTACATACAGAAACCACCATAGAATACATCAAACTAACATCATCTTGAAAGTATATTTGTATAGTGGTTAAGGACTGTTACTGCAGTATTTTTAATTTAATTATCCAACAGTGATGATAATAGAGAATATAAGTATTTGAAATGGTACACAATGAATTATTATGACTGTTGTTACAGGAAGTGGATGAGGATGATGAAAGAGCCTTGGAAATGTTCATGAATCGTAACCCAGCTCCACGTCGGACCCTTGCTGATATTATTCTGGAAAAAATTACTGAAAAACAGACTGAACTTCAAACCCAATTCTCAGATGCTGGAAGTGAGTGTCTGTTTTATTTAGATTGCGCACGGATTCCTGAAGATTATGCTAATGTTTTGTTAAGAATAAGTTAACTACATAATAGTGAAAATGTTATTAAGTCACTCTGTTGATTTCTCATATTCATTGTGCCTTTCTGTTTTGTGGTTACAAAATGTGTCAGACTTCTGTGAATAATGGGAATGACATGTCTGTCTCTCCTGTACTCTTGTTGTGTAAATTTTTATGAAATTTAATATTGGGCAGTTTACATAAAATTTGTCAGGCATTTTAATTTTGGTTCATATCAGTTCAATATAACTTACATTCTCTGTCAAGCTTAAATCACCACGTTGTACATTTTTTAAAAATGATTCCTCATCCAGACAGTTAGCTCAGTAACTTTATTTGAGATATTTTTCAGTGCAGCGAACATTTAATGAAGTGTTAGGTTCTGATGTGTTCCTAGAATCATTCTGCATCTTCTGGTTATAAATATATGAGCACATGTGTTAGTATGTTTGTAGAACAGCTGTAAAATTCATTGCTCAGATTGCATTTTTGTTAATATTAGTTGCTTCATGTTTATGTAATGGAAAGTTAATCCTTAATATGATATAAATGAGGAATATGATTGGCTTACATTCTTTAATGTACATTTAAATTGTGATAGTGTTATATTCAGACCAGTAATTTGCATTCATCCATAACTTGAGTATGGACATAAAAACTGAGTGGACTGATGTGGTAATGCTCTAAATGTTTATTTGGTAGGTACTTGAGCAGAATCATGGCAGAGTGATTGGCCATTTTTGATTGAGGTCTTGTGTGGTTTGCTTTGTGTCTTAGGTGATTGCTGGGATAGTACCTTCAGATAAACTGTAGCCACCTCCTTCTACATCCTTACATTTTTTGTTGTAGTCCAATTTTATTTGCAGTCTGTACTAGTACATTTAGCAAATTGTTATGGTGTAATTTGACTTGAAGAGGAGTGCTCATTTGCACTCTTCTTTAGTAAGGAGGCTTGAGGCTTTGTGTGGTTCTTGGGGGAGTGCTTACTATGTAGATCTTTAAACTAGAACGACTAGCATACTATTACAATAGAAATCTTGTGGACAGATCATTTGGCAGATGTCTTTGCAGTCGCCTGAAGTCCGGTGGCTCCGTAAGGCAGGCAGCTAGGTTGTTTGGGTGAGCTCTGAGTTGAGTATTGTATAGGGAGCTGTATTGGCGAATTTCTTCTCTAACTGTTGGTATTTGGAGATCTCTTTGTATAACTATGTTTGGTATGTACGAAGGTGCTTCCACTATCATGCTCAAGGCTTTAGCTTGAAATTGTTCTAGAATTGCCATGTTTGAGTTGGAAGCTGTACCCCAAAGTTGTATTCCATAGATCCAGATTGGTTTGAGGATTGTTTTGTGTATAAGGAGTTTGCTGCTTGTAGAGAGATTTAATTTACATCCGAGTAGCCAGTGCATTTTCGTGGGAGTGATTCCTAGTTGTTTCTGTTTCACTATGATGTATTTGTGCCAGGTAAGTTGCCTGTCAAGGTGTAGTCCAAGATACCTGACATCTTCTTGGGGGAGTTGTACGTTGTTTATGTGTACCAGTGGGCATGTTTCTTTCTTGTGGTGAACGTAACATGGATCGATTTTGATTCATTTACTTTCATTCTCCATTTTTTAATCCAGTTTTGAATTGCTAGTAAGTTGGTTTGCAGTTTCTGCGAAGCAGCAGCTGGATTGTACATCTTTACACACCATTCATTATTGTATTGTGACATGTTGCGCAACGGAGGACCCCTACCTCCCCAGCGGCACGTGGCGGTAACGTAGCGCTCCCTCCCCCCCTCTGCGGTGATGTAACGCACGACACGCGGTGACGTAAGACGGCGCGAGGTAACAGTGTTGCTAGGCTATACGCAAACATGGTGACACGGCACCGCTTTCTACTGTGACGTGGGGGGCAACAGGTAACAGCGAACGGAATAAAAGCCGGCTGAGCAGCAAGCGAGGGCCAGTGTGTTATCAACGAGTTCTCAGTTTGCAAGTTACGAGTTACAGACACGTGTGCGAGAATCAGTGATCGTTCGTGATAACCAGTTGTATTTGGAGTGTGTAATTCAGTGAGACTTGTATAGCTTCCGCGCTATTAATACGTGAAGACTCTTGAAGATAGTGTTAAGAGATTTTGTTGTAGGGTTTGTAAAGTGTGGAAACCCGTAACATTGTTATCATTAATTGTAGCCGATACTTGTAGATTGTTAAATAAACCAATTAACCATCTCTACAGCGTCTTCAGTAACGAAACATGTTACAGTATACTACCTTATTTGGACTGTGTGACCTGTGCATTGTTAAATACCTTATATATCAATCAGTACTGAACATTTCACATTTTATGATCTTGTGATTCTTTGTTTAAAACCTATATTGCTAAGTGGAGTTACTTAATTTTGAATGTCTGTTAAATAGGTCAGACTATTGTATTCACGCTATTTTATTGAAGGTTTGCAGATTCAAGATTTGGATCCAAGGGTTAAACAGATGTATGAAGGAGTTCGGGATGTCCTGTCAAAATACCGAAGTGGCAAGCTTCCAAAAGCCTTTAAAATTATTCCAAACCTTCGTAATTGGGAACAGATTCTCTATGTTACAGGTACAGAATATTTCCATTTTAGTGAAGTCTGAGAGAATGTTAATTTGTTCTGAAGAAAAGTACTTGTTTTTCATTATTGTTCATCAGATCCAACATGCTGGAGTGCAAGTGCCATGTACCAAGCAACTCGGATATTTACATCAAATCTCAAAGAGAAAATGGCTCAGCGATTTTTCAACCTAGTTCTTCTTCCACGAGTAAGAGATGACATTGGAGAGTACAAACGGCTCAACTTCCATTTATATCAGGCACTGAGGAAGGCTCTCTTCAAACCTGGAGCATTCATGAAAGGCTTTCTGCTACCATTATGTGAGGTAAATTCACATTACCCTGCAGTTCTTGAGACAGTAGGAACTAAAAAATACTGGAAGTGCAGTTGTGGCAGTTTTGTTTTTCTGCAAATTGGAATACAGTCAGTAGAAAACAAATAATTATGTATATTTAACACAGGCAGTGATCTGGGATTGCTCAGTCAGTAAAGTGACTGGCTACAGTCCTGGCAGGGTTATTCTTTTGTCTCATTGTGCATAGACTGGTTCTGGGGGCCACTCAGCCTCTTAACCAGTAGGTGCAAGAGATGAAGCAGCTGGAGTGTGAAGCTGGTCACTGACCCCCATCCAGTGCTAAGACTGAGTTGAGTTTGAGCTCTGAGGTCCCTGTAATTTATCCATGGCATGGTTCTAAGCACAGAAAATAATTTACCCTTATTTTGCCTGTACACAAGCATCTCCATGCTCTGAAGTGTTACTAAAGAGTAAAATAGTATCTAGGTTATACCAAGGTTCATGATCATTATGCTGATTATTATTGTCACGTGTTTATGGCTCCATGACCAATAATATCGGGTTTGTGACTGGATTCCTTAACACCTTCATTTACAATCTCTCTTAATCACAGTAAATTATAACAGCTCACAATAAATGACTGTCAAAGACTCACTCCATTCTGACTGGACTCTGTCTTCTACTGTTCTCTCCTGGTTTCTGATTGACTTGGTTTATTAATGACTTAGTTGTCGGTTCTCCATTCTACTGTGACTGCCTCGGTTCTTATCTGGATGGCTGCTTATGTAGCATTTTGGTATCCTAGGAGATGTTTGTTGCTTGCTCATATCCATGGACATGCCTGTTGACTCTGTAGCAATGATCAGGTTTCCAAGAGTCTGCAACTTTCATTCCCATATCCATGGACACATTTGTTTAACAGCCAGCGATAGTTTGTGTCCAAGAAACGTATCTCTGCAGAAACATTTTTGCTAACTCGTTTCCTAGAAATGAGCCTGCATGTCACATTATTAATATTGCCCGTTTATTCATTTGTTGTTACCAGTTTCTGTCTGTAGTTTTGTTGCTTGACAGAGTTGATTAATCAGTGTGCAGATATTTTTATTCAGGAGGTAAAAGTACTATGTGCTTTGGTTTATTTAATTAGCAGCTGTTATGAAATCGATCTTTTTGCAGAGTGGAACCTGCACATTGCGGGAAGCCATCATCGTTGGTTCTGTTATTGCTCGTAATTCCATTCCAATACTTCATTCATCAGCAGCCATATTGAAAATTGCTGAGATGGACTACACAGGTGGTAACTCCATATTTTTACGCATATTCTTTGACAAGAAATATGCTCTGCCATATAGAGTTGTGGACGCTGCAGTATTTCATTTCCTCAGGTATAGTAATACCATATGTAAAACTCATGATATTCTGCTAATATAAAACAACAGTGAGAAGGTACACTTCCTTTAGAATATGCATTTTACAGAAGTATTATCTGAAATTGGTATATACAAATGTTTTTGTATGATGAGCCATTTTTCATAAATTCATGTAAAATATGAGTTACAGTGAATCAGCATGCCCTGAAATAATATCTGACAACTCTTATTGTTAACCTGTGGTAACAGATTTGGTTTAAGTCCAGTGAGTTGTTTTTGGTAATGAAAATTGAAGAGACAATAACAAGATACAGTACAGAATGTTATGTATATGAAATTTAATGAGAGTTGATCAAAATAACATGCACTAGATGCAGATGTTCATAAAAGCCATGCTCAGGGAGCTGGAGAACACAGATCAATGAAAGCTTTTGTAATCAGGAACTCAGTGCAAGGTAATATAATTCCCTGCCAGCTTAGGTTAGCTAGGTGTGAAGTCCTGCAAGTGATGGTTTTCTGTATTATGACATAATGCAATGTGGAGAGTGGGTATCAGCCCTTCAGGAGAACATATTGCCTCCTAGAATACCCAAAATACATGGTACATGGGGTCATAGTCCATAACACTATAGTGTGAATCTTTTTCTTATCCTGTGGCGCTACAGCCCCAATTTGGGCCTAGGCCTACCTCCATGAAACTCTCCGTTTCACTTCGGTTTACTAGATCTTACACACATGGTAGGACTCCTTGGGCGAGTGATCAGCTCGTCGCAAGGCCTCTGCCTGTAGACAAACACAGAAAAACACACAAACATCCATGCCCTGAGTGGGATTTGAACCCATGATCCCGGCTTCCGAACGAGCAAAGGCAGTTCATGCCTTAGACCGCTCGGCTACTGTGACCGGCAGTGTGAATCTTTACTGTCATGAAAACATGAGATCTCATAAAGGCATTAAGTGTTTTGAAAGATTAGGGAGATACAACTATGATTCACAGACAAGTGATAATTAAAATACCAACTTAAATTACAGAAATGCTGTGTTAATCATACAGTGTTAGACCTATAATGCAAGATGATTAGAACTGTTGTCTTTTAACTCAGACTATAATTTTTAAAGAGTCCTATATTTTATATGCCTGATTAATGCAGAGAATCAGTTTCTGAGATATCCTAGCCATGTGTTATTGGCAGGGGCATAGGGTACATGGATGTGGTGGAAGCATTGCTTCCTATAGAAAAGCAACCAAAAACATTTCTGGCAATTTTTCAATTTTGAAAAAATATTTCATACTTCAAAATATTAATTAATCTGAGAACATATATTACATATAATGAGAATATTGCAAGTTTTAATGTGTTACATAAACCATTTATCAGGATAGATCAGTTATTTTCTTCCAAAATGCAAGGAACTTTAAAATATAATGCGCAAGGAAGCAACAGGTTGTTCGCTTCCACACCCATTCTGGTTCAAGTGGGACTGCAATGTTGCCATATATGAGGAGTCTGTTGCTTAGCTAAATGTTACGGAATGCTTCAAGCTTCGTGCTTCCAGCAATGTTGCTGGCTGTAAGGCATTGCAGTATGCAGTTGGAAGTCGGTGACCTTGCAGGTACACAATTTTTCTGGTGTGCTGAGACTTCGAAAATGCTGTTAGTAAAAAAGCGTGCTTACTAGTTTTCAGAAGAAGGTGTTAGTGTGTTACTTATGCACAAGTCAGTTTAGTTATTCTGTATTTTTCTCGATGCATAATTTGTTTTGCTTTGCATAATTATAACTTTGTGACAATGTTTTTGTGATTGCTGTTAAGTTACAAATGGAAACATGACACTTTCATGTGATAACCACTGTGTGATTGAAAAACTTCTTCAAACACTGTTCAGTTCACTCAGTTATAATGAGAAACTTAAGATAATAGAAGAAGGTGCACCTAAGCCTAATCTAACTTTACATACAAAAATGAAATCTTGCACACGGCATTTCAGTACCAGTTTGTATGAGGCTATTCCATGGTTGTGTGGGTGTGATAAACTAAAAAAATTATTCTGTTGGCCCTGTCTCTTGTTTTCTAAAGAAAGACACATGTTTAACAGTGCTGGTTACAATGACATTAACAACATTTACAAATCTGGTGAAAGACATGGGCATTCAGTTAATCACATTGCTTGTCTTAAAGAAATTACACTGTTTGGTAAAAACAGAAGGATTGAGTTTTCTCTAAGCAGCCAATACAAACAGTCAATTGAAAAACACAATGAAGCTGTGAAACAGAACAGGAAATTTGTAGGCCAATTAATTACAGCAGTTTGTTTTCTGGGCTCTCAGGGTTTAGTATTTCGGGGACATGATGAAAGCGTGGCATCTGTTAATAGAGGAAATTACATTGAGGTTTTAAATATGCTGGCACGTTATGATTCTGATTTACACAATCATTTAGAGTCTTCAACTGCTTTTCGTGGTTCTTCTCCTGACATCCAAAATGAACTGATACATTCTATATCTGAATTGATGACAATGGAAATTAAAAAGGAAATTTCAAAGGCTAATTATGTTTCTTTAATTCTTGATGAGACTTCAGATGTGATGAATAAGTGTCAGTTGGCTTCAGTTCTTCGATATGTGACAGCTGATGGCAATGTTGAAGAAAGGTTTCTGCGTTTTACAGACGTGAGCTCTGACCGTTCTGCCAATTCCTTGTTTAACCATGCTCTTGAGATTTTAAATGATTTTGAATGTGGTCCCAAACTCATTGCACAGACTTATGATGGTGCTGCTGTTATGGCATCACAACATGCAGGAGTACAAGCAAAAATTCGCGAGCAGTACCCAAACGCCATTTTTGTTCATTGTTATGCGCATAGACTAAATTTAGTCTTAGCACAATCTGCTAGTTTTATTAAGGAAGTTAAGGTCTTCTTTGCTACTCTCTCTGGCTTTAGAACTTTTTTTGCCAAGTCCACAAAAAGGACTGAAGCATTGGATTCCCACCTTAGGAAAAGATTTCCTTCTATCGCACCTACTCGATGGCAGTACCATAGCCGACTTGCTGAAACTGTGCATGAATACAGAGAAGGAATTGAGAATCTTCTTGTGTCTATAATAGAGGAACCAGAAGAATGGGATGTAGAAACAATTTCTTCTGCACGCGGACTTCTCTCTCTTCTAAGGGATTTCGATTTCAATTTCATGCTGAAAATATTTTCTTCAATTTTTCCATATTCTGGCGCTCTTTTCAAAATCCTACAAACTAAGAGATCTGATATAGCTTTTTGCAATACCAAAATAGACGAATTTAAGCATCACATGCAAAGATTAAGGGGAGGATTTGACCACCTTTGGAGTGAAATGGAAAATGTCTTCGATTCAAATGGCCCAACTCGACCCAAAAGAATTCGCATTGACTCAATGAGTGGAGAAGAAAGAAAAAACTCCTATAAACGGCTGTTCTGTGAAATTATTGATGTCGTGTGTCAGAATGTCTCTGTTAGATTTTCGGAGAACGCTACGCTCCTCTTCTTGAGTCTTCTTGATGCCAGATACTTTCCCATGTATAGAACCTCATTTCCTGAAAAAGCATTTTCCTGTTTAAAAGAAAATTATGGTGCATTTTTTGACTTTGTTGCCTTAAAGAGTGAACTTTTAGTAATGTTTTCGGACCCAGATATGGCAAAAGATAGTGTGTATGACTTACATCAATATATGTATGCTCTTCAGTTATCATGCGTTTTCCCGCAAATCTTCAAATTATGTGAGCTAGTATTAACAATACCAGCGACAAGTGCTGCAGATGAACGCTCATTTTCAGCTCTGAAGAGATTAAAAAACTACTTAAGAAATTCGCAGAACCAGGATAGGTTGTCATCACTAGCTTTGATGAACATTGAAAAGTCCTTCCTAAACAAACTGCAGTCCAAACCCAGCTTTCTAGATGAGGTTATTGATCTGTTTGCCAAGAAAAACAGAAGAATCGAGCTGAATTATAAACAATAAAGTAAGCATTAATTATATTCCAGGTTCACAACCCTGTCATTTGATGGCTATAAAATTGTGTTGATAATTAGGTGTTATTTTAATATATTAGCTTAAGTATACAATACATATTAAACTATTAGCTGTTTTCTTTTAAATAGAAGATAGAAACTATAGGGTATCTAGAAAAATGTTATATACACCTATATAAAGTTGGTTCCCTGCTTTTGGTAGTCATGCTATGCCACTGGTTATTGGCATGGGGAAACTGCATATGGTCCTGTCTGTTATTTAGATAGGATTTACACCATTGTCTACCAAGTGTGAGACCTTACAGCCAACTTTCTTGGACTTTGGTGGTAGTACTGTGAATATAAAAATATTTTGCTGCCATAACCATGGTTACGTCACAGGCAGCTGGGAGGGGAAATGATGTTGCACATAGCACAAGGTCTAGTTATATCAGCTTGGCATTGTGAAGCTACTTCATGGTACCACTTGATGCCATCATCATGGTCTCATGCAAAGTAATCTGATTCTGGTGAGAACATTATGAAAAGCAGAAGCTCCACATTGGTGAGAAGTGTGCCCACATTATTAAATTTGTTACTACTTTATGGTGCAGATCACATTGTCCTGTGTAGCTTTTGCATGCTTTCTGTGTTACATTTTATTCTGATGGAAGAGCTGTTGGGCTAATGTTTGTAATTTACAGATATTTAATTTTGTATGCTCAGGTTTCAGCGTGACAGTCGTGAATTGCCTGTTCTGTGGCATCAGAGTTTATTGACATTTGTACAGCGTTATAAAGGTGATGTTAGCACAGAGCAACGAGAAGCCTTGTTGGAGCTCCTGAAACATCAGTCACATCCTTTTATTACTCCAGAAGTTAGAAGAGAACTCCAACATGCTAAATGCAGAGATGTGGAGGGTGAGGAACCTATGGCTGAGTGAGGAGTACCAGAGTGTTTAAGTGATAGTTGGGGAGACTGACTCCGACTTCCATCCAAGATCAACTTGGCTAGTCTTCTGGATGACTACTGCATCTTTAATATTCATAATTCTTTGCATGGAACATCATAGCTTTGATGATTCCTTAGTCTGTATCAAATAGGACTCTGGAAATAAAATGTTTATATAATAATTTCTTATTATTTAATTTGTCTTTTCTAATTTCTGGCTAAATAAATGTTTAAGAAGTGAAAAACAAAACAACACATGCATCGCTACATTATGTGAGATAAAACTTTGGTACTTCTTGAGCACTCGGTTTTTGTGTACAATCATTTGCTTGTGTTGCCTCAGCTCTGGGTTAGTATTTGCAGCATTATTACATTACAGTTAACCCTGATTTAATTGCATCAATGGCCTTTCTTATTACCCTGCGGATCTACAGATGAAAATCACATAACACATCAGTATGTGAAGATGTTAAGTAATATCAATAGATACCAGAATCTTGAATTATGAAATAATGTCACATAATGTGTAAAGTTGGAATAATGGAGCCAGAAGAAATTGTCTGCTGCTATGTGACAACTAAATGAACAAGCATTGCTAGGCAACGAATAGACACACAACGATTCTTGGTGTACATTGCAGTTTCTAGCTACAGGGTGAATGAGGCAGAAGGAACAGGTCTTACATGGAGCCTGATGCTGCAGATGGAGGCACCATGGCCTGATGTATGTCATGCAGTAGGAGTAAGGATGTTTGTGTGGAGCATGGTGCTGTTCAGTGGAAAGGCACCCTATGGTTGAAAAGAAAATGTGAGACCAGATCTACTTAACTTTGTATCCATCCTTGCAGTAGAAGATGAAGTGTCTGACTGCTTCATTGGCTTCCCTGATGACGTGAGGGCAGTAAACGTGCATGAAGAGTTATGTAGTCCATTCAGAGTCAACTGACATGTTAGGGGAACATGTTGCCTCCACCTTAAGGGCCGAAGCATAAGTAAAGCAAGAAACCACTGTGAAACAGGCTCTGCTTGCTACCAGCTTCATGCCGGTTTCTTGCTTGGCTTATTCTTTGACCCCTGCAGTGGAGGTGACATGTTCTCTGAAATGTCGGTTGACTTTGTATGTATTACATGGCATTGTATCCCAGAAGATAGACCTCTTCATAACCACTGCTGTGAGAACATCAAATCCTACATAGTAAGTATGCATGTTTGCTAAGGCTTCTATTTTGTCAATGTCATGTTTGATCTCTAGACAGTCTTCAGCTATCTGTGAATCACTGGTTTTCTAGTGTGGTTTTTCTGGTGTCCCTATATCCTAATGAGATGTGTCTGCCAGTTTGGCTGATGGTACAGCATTTTGTTATGACTTAACAAAAAAAAATCCAGGATTTCAGTCTGCAACTGAACTATACTGACCAAGCGACTGCTGCTTGTCGGCCAAGTTTAGTGCCAACTTTTGTGGATTTATTGGTTTTCTAGACCAGAGCCGCTATTTCCTTGAAATATGCAGGTAAGTCAATAAGTAAGTTTCAAATGGATATAGAACTTAAATAAGAGTACTGATTTGAAAAATGCTTTTATTTCTCAACATAATCTCCCTGTACATTGAGGCACTTGTCCCATCATTTCACAAGCCCCTGAAAACCAGCAGCATAAAATTCTTTGCGATGCTGTCGGAACCAGGCGGCGACTTCCCTACAGAAGGGTAACTATAGACACTATAGCCACTGCTATTGGTTGTTCACATGGCATGGCCCACCTTATAATGCATGACAGGTTAGGTTTTCACAAAGTCTGTGTATGATGGGTGCCACACATGCTGACCCCACAACCCAAAATGGAAAGAATGGGTCTGGCGTTACAGGATCTCAATCACTACCATGATGGACACGATATGCTAGCCTGAATTGCCACTGGTGCTGAGTCTTGCTCCAAGCAACTTCCATTTGTTCGACCCTCTTAAACATCATCTTTTGGCTGAACATTTTCCCAACGATGAAGCTGTACAAAGGGAAGTCACCACCTGGTTCTGACAGCAGCCCAAAGAATAATTATGCTGCTGGTTTTCAGGGGCTTGTGAAACGATGGGACAAGTGCCTCAGTGTACAGGGAGATTATGTTGAGAAATAAAAGCATTTTTTAAATCAGTACTCTTATTTGTTTAAGTTCTATATCCATTTGTAACTTATTGACTTACCCTTGTAGCTCCTCAGTTATTATGACAAGGCTGAGTGGACCCTGTTCCAGACCCAATACTTATCAGAAAAAATCTGGTAGCTCTGGGAATCGAACCCAGACCTCTCATCTGTAGCCACGAACACAGACCACATTATGACTTAATGTTGCCTAAAAATAAGTGACATGCAGTGTGTACCTATTTGAGCTTTAATCTACACCCTGCTGCAGGTGCAGGGGATCCTATAAATGATGGGGGCTGCTCGTCCTTGATTAAGAGATGGGTTGACAATTTTCAGTGGTTTGTGCATAGTATGGACCCCTTCTGTCTTGAGTAGCTGTCAGTGTGGTCTCTTGTACCTTAAATGTGAGGGATATAAGCCTAGTGATCTCATTTATCCACGTTCCACTGGCCTTGTTCTCACGTTTATTGAGAGTAACCATTAGATCAAAGAATGGACTTGATATGCTGTAGTTTGAATCTGTTGCAGACTGTTGTTGCCCTGTGATAATGTAGCAAATGTTATGTCCTGGTGGATGATGGGAGGCTGCTTGTGGACAACTGTGTTTGTGGTTTGTTGTATAGATAGAATATCCCAGGGAGTTGTTTGGATGGTATGTAAGCAGGATGTCATGGAAGAATGTGTTGACGGTCTGTTTCCACTTCCATGGAGAGCTTGATGCTGGGGTGTATGAAGTTCAGTTGTACAAGAAAGATGAGATGGGTGGGGCATGCTCCTCACATAGGAGCTCCCATCATCCACCAGGACATTACGTTTGCTACATTATCACAGGGCAACAACAGTCTGCAACAGAATTATGTATAAAACTTTTATCAGAAAACCTGTATGGAGGAGACTGTTTGGAAGACTTGCATGTAGATAGGATAAAATGGCTTCTTAATGGGTCAGGTGTGGTCTGGATATGCCTAGTTTAGGTCTGGGATCACAGATGGGTTCTTATGAACATGGTAATGAACCTTCAGGGTCCATAAAAGGCAGTGAATTTCTATACTACCTATGCAGATAGTGGCTTAAGAAACATTATTTAGGATTGGAATTAAAATATATCTTGATTTATTACCGAAATGAATGGAAACCACAAATTCTTTTATTTTCTACAGGTGACGGGTTTTCAATGAGTGTTGTCCACTACAGGAATTTATTTCATCAAAGGTGCCACTGCAGAGATGTCCAGTAAGGGTAGGTTAAAGCAAAATAATTTTTATTACTGATTTTAAGCCAATGTTAATTCAGTCCATGGATGGTTGTACAATGATGACAACATTGCCATGTTTTGGAGGTCGACTGGCCCTACTGGTCCAGACAGGACATCAATCTCCACTCTTCCCTCATGGATTGACACCAACATGTGCACACATGCACAACCTTTCCAACTCTGCATACTTTCACCCTAAAGATGGAGGCAGCAGGTACCTCTGAAATGTTGGCTACACTGCACACATCAACACAGTGCAACCACCCAAGATCAGAATTAACATAAAAGTTATGTCTTAATATACTTCACAGTATAAATTATAACATGCAACAACCATACAATTTTCGTGGCACAATGTGCCATGTGAGGCTATGTCAACCAAAACAGCTCCATATCAGTTACAAGTAATCACCAAAATGTGTGGTGCAAAAATAAATTTAAAATGATTTATGCCCATAGTACTCTATTTGGATATGCTCTACTAATGGAAAGTGTAATTAATGGGACTAATTAAAAAGTGAGCTAGTCACAGTAGCCAAGCAGTCTTAAGGCATGTACTGTCTTTGCTCGCTTGGAAACCGGGATCGTTGGTTCCAATCCCACTCAGGGCATGGATGTTTAGTTTGTGTGTGCACGTTTTGCTGTGTTTGTTTACAGGTAGAGGCCTTGCGACGAGCTGATCACCCGCCCAAGGAGTCCTACCAAATGTGTAAGATCTAGAAAAACCAAAGTGAGTGGAGAAAGTTCATGGAGGTAGGCCTAGGCCCACTGGGGCTGTAGTGCCAAGGGGGCAAAAAAGAAGAAAAAAAAATTAAAAAGTGTAAGAGAACATGCATGGATGGCTCTACTATATAGGCAAATTTCTGGTTGAAACAAGTCTTTTATTTTCATAAATTCAGGAAATGCAAGAAAACTGCTTACTCTTAAACCTTCGTAACCTTCACAAAAATAGATTTTTTAAGTTCAAAGTCAATAATATAATTATCATTCTTCACAATGCAATCCATTCTGTAGGAAAATGCACGAATCTTGAAATTAATAATTAAAGGAAATAAATATTACAAAATTAAGAACTAATTTCACTCATCTGCAATGTGGTTGCAAGTATAATGCCCCAGCATGAAGCAGGTGTTCTTTGCTACAAGCTTCCATGGTATGTTTGTATAATTTATGTACTGTGTATGTACATATATAAATGGAAGTTTTCAAAACTTTAATCTGTATATAAAATTTGGTCTACTCAGGGGAGGTGAAGATAAAATATGCAAAAGGCAATTCCTGTCCTGTAAAACATTAATATTATTACAATGGCTCCATGCTTTGAAACATAACTGCAACTACTTATTTATACCTTTACAGTAATTGCTGACACTAAGTACAGCAGTTACCAAGGTGACAACATTCTTTGTCCATTAAAAACAGAAATAATGGAACATCGTTGCTTTCTTCAGACAATTCTGCAAATGATAACCAATATACCTCGTTTCATGCTGTAGTATGCCAAATTTTAAATCTGGTTCATCTGCCAGGTACATAAATTACAGTTCAGGATGACACAAAAATTTACAACAAACTATATATAAATATACATTGTATCTGATACGACCCTATATGTAGGTGGTGAATAAAGGATTCACCTCAGAAAACAATCTCCTATCTTAATGAGGACACTGCATAGAAATGCTTAAAGTTTACATCCAACTTCACTATGAAGACCTAGCAAGCCAGAAAGCAACCTTGAAAAAGAAATAAGCAAGTCCAATGGCACAAATTATCTTCTCTCGCTGCTGCCTTTGCATATTGTCCAATTCCATAGCCATGACTCGCCTATTCAGTTTGGCCATCTGCCGACGCAAGTGAACAAGTTCTTCACTTGGAGTTAAACCTTCACCTGTACCAACTGGAGGAGTTGACTCCCTGTTGACAAAGTCATTACATCCTATGATATCTGTGATATTCTTGACCATGATTCTCAAGTGTGGCCACCAACTATATTAAGAAGATAAATACAAGTCAGAAGTGATTAGATTTCATATTTTATCAATCCTATCTCAGGATTTACTTTTTTGCATTTCATTTCATGCAATAAAGTACAGAGCAGTAAAGTGAGACAAACATTCTGCTTGCAATAGCTGGGTGGCATCTTACTGCATGACTGTACAGGGAACAAAGCTGGGGTTTTCCCCACATCCAACACTGACTTTCTACTTCAACAGAATTTCATTACTCATTGCTCTAAAAAGGTGAGACAAATTTAACATTATATAAGGACTGCTATAAGTGACCCCCATTTGTCTTGAAGCATGCTTCCCAGCACGTAAACAAGCTGAAACACTTTCTGAAGTTCATCACTAGAAACTGAAGCAACTGCACCTATTATTTCATTTTGGAGTGCTTCAATGATGAAAGGGTTATTCTTGTACACTTTTCCCTTCAAGATGCCCCACAGATGATAATCACAGTAACTAACATCAGGAGAGAAAGAAGACCAGGCTCTGTGCTGACTGTTCTCTACTTGAACACCTCATGGCAGTCATGAACTTGTCAGCAGTATGTACTATAGCATAATTTGGTGGAATGCAACCGCCTATTCAATGGGTAAAGCGGCCAGGACATGAAGCTCACCACTCACCTCCAACTAGTGCCAAGATCAAGAATACATGGATCTGTACAACCACTCCCTTGCACATCTTCATGGCATAGTGCTTAATTGGTTAAGCATGGCCAATTTTACCTTCTTACCCAAGTTTCTCTTTAGCTGTCAGTTCATAAAAAATGGGAGTATTAAATACATTGCCCCTCCCCCTTTTCCAGTACAAACACAGAGATATGTTGTGTTTTTATTGTTGTCTTTTAGGTGTCTATGTCAGCAGAGACAAAGCATTAAATGTTCAGCAGTCATGTAATTTTGTAAAACAAGTCAAAGAAGATAAAATATGTGACTGCATTGTTACTATAACTTTTATTTGTGACAATTCTGTTTCCTTTCAAAATGTAATAGTGATTTCTTACCTGACCAATCTTTGTTCAGTGTAAAAGTAGGGCTTGGGTTTCATTACAGCCATGGTCAACATTTCTTCTGGTTGCGCTGTATGGCTGGGGAAGTCATCAGCTGATGGGAAGTAATGTTCATCAAGTGTAATAACACGAGGTGGAGTCTGTAATAACACACAAGCATTATGCAGTAGACTTGAAAATAACACAGATATCAAGGACAGCTCATTGCAGCATCTCTGCACAGCTAGGTAGATGATAAACATTATGCAATTACACTTATTTGTGAATGCTGAGGGAATACCATTTTCACAGTTGAGTAGTAAAATATTTACACACTTCAATTACTAATTAATGCACTCAGCTAGTGAATGCATGGCTTGCTGTTTTCTTAGAAATACATAACTAGCGAAGAATGTTACAATACAGTGACCACATAAACCAGCAGTTGGCTTTGGGTTTTACATTTATCATTTCATATAAGTCAGTCTCATCTGTATGACATTCTTGTAACCCATCTGCATTCAGTGACTGTACTTTTAAGTTGTCCTGTGCTTAATTAAGCACCATGCCATGAAGACATATGGAGGAGTGGAAGTACAGGCCCACCAGTGTTTGATCGCAGCACTAGGCGGAGCTAAGTGGTTCACTTTATGCCCAGGAAAAGAGCCCCTGCTACCCATTGGAGAGAAGGCTAGGTAAGCCCCAGAGCTGGTCTGGATGCTGTGGAGCAGAGAAAATTCTCTTGCCCCCATTGGGAATAGTACCATGGCCATCCTGCTGGGAGCCTGTTGCTATACCAGCTCCACTTACTGTGCCAGTACTAACATAAATTATTCTGATTTACCCATTGCATATAGTCACAATATTGCAAACATAAAATGTCACATAACATAGTATATTATGTACTGTTAACCCATAAAAATCTGTAACATACACAATGGGTAAGGAACTTACCTGAACTCGAACCATACCAGGATCAGGTGGCATTGCAGCATTTTCTAATATTAACTCTCTTGGTGGGGCCTTGGTTCCTATATGTTGTTCTTGACCTAAGATCATGTACAAGAACAAGGTGATAAAGTCATACTTAAAAATGTAGTTTATTTAAACCTGACTCTTGAATCTGAACCTACTGTTAAAACTGTCAATGCAGATACACTGTCCCCACTCTTACTTCATTTCTGCAAACTTCTGGAACATGATACTAAACAGGGACGACTCATACCACCCACTCTCAATTGGCAGCCTACTGCTGTATTTACATTATTTAATTAGCTTATGTAAATTTTACACATCTATTTATAACTCCAGTTTTTAAAAATATCTAAGGTAAAGGTAAAATTAAACAGCATGCCTGAAGACATATGGGACAGTGAAGGTATAGCTCCACACATTCTTAATCTTGGAGTTAGTTGGAGGTGACTGATCAGCTTCACACCCCCAACAGCTGGTAACACACTATTAATATGAAATTTAGTCTCTCATTAACATTTTAAATGAATAGCATGTATGCTTATCAGTGCATTTCATGTTTAATAAAAAAGGCTACACTTTACATCAATCACAAACAGTGTCCATTGTGCCTCACTGATGAGTATAAGGATCTATTCACTTGGCACTGAGAGGCTGTTGTAAAAAACAGCACAAATATTGGAGCTTTACATGCAGTAGGAATGATCTTGCAAAGGTAATGTGACATGGTAGGGAAGTATTCCGATGGAAAATTTTATCAAACTTAATACTGTTTCATCATACCTTCACACAAGTAACGTCTATTCTAAACTTGATGGTACAAAGAAGTTGTCCATATTTGTAATATAACATACATCATTAATTCAGACATTACAGTCAGAATTTAATAGCTCATGTGTCTCCTATCAAATGGCTACAGGAGGCTCTTTCTCTGGAGGTAAAGCAACTGGGGCGTAAAGTTGGCCACTCACCTCAAATATTGCTGAGGTCAAGAACGTATTGATCTATACCTCAACTCCCCATGTCTCCATGGCATACTGCTTAATTAGGTAAGCACAGGGAAACTTACCTGATATGTGATGGCTCATGCTCAGTTATCATTTTATTACTAACCAAGGGTATGTACAAAGCGTTTATCAACTAATTAGTAATTATTTGGCTTAGTGGGGGGTGAAGTCCAGCTGGGTCCACTTGGCACGGCGGCCAATGATTGGCCTATTGTACTTGCCCCGGGCATATTATGATAATGGAGAATTTGGTGGAATGAAGATTGGCAGAGGAAACTGAAGTACTCAGAGAAAATCTGCCCCCAGCACCACTTTCTCCACCACAAATCCCACTTGACCAGACCTGGGATTAAACCCGGGCTGCCACGGTGGGAAGCCAGCAACTAACCGCTTGAGCTGTGGTGCAGCCTAACTGATTAGTAACTAATGCCATGTATTATATGGCAAACTAATGACTTACCAAACTAAATAAATTGTTTAATGCTAAACGTTGGTACTAAATTTAGATAAAAAACACAATTTTCTACTATGAACAAGACATGTCTCAGTTTAAATACAGGTTTTGTCAATAAATTAATTGGCCTACAAATTAACAAAACTGGAAGAAACACACAAATGTTATTTCCTAACTATGATCTGCATGCTCTGTTGTGAGAAGAGTTACACAAAAAAGACAACAGATACTTTAAAATTTGTTTACTTTGCTTCCACTCCATACTGTCACATGGGTTAATCTTCTGGGGAAATTCAAGAGACAGAAACAGTCATCCAAAAGAAAATAATTAGAATAAAGGAAGGCATTAGAAGCAGGGTCTTTTGTAGAAAATTATTTTGGAAATGTAATAACCTTTGCTTGCAAGCAAGTGCATATCCTGCGTATTGAGATTCGCAGTGGATTACATGAAAAAATTAAGCAGAATAATTTCTGGGAAGAAATAATCAGTTACTTTACGACTGGCAGTTTACCTCAAATCAGTTTATCTTTCCACCAAGCCCTTTGAGACTCACAGAAATTACTTTTCCAGATGTACCCTTGCAATCATAATCATTATGAACATCATCTCTGACAAGAGGTTGGGATTGTCTCTTATGAATAGGCTTCACCTTCTGTCAAGTGTCTTGCATATATATCATGTTACTGAAAATTCTTCCTTCTGCACTATAATCAGTCCTCTGTCAGTCCAGACTTTGCAAAGCACATCGTGCCTATCTTGTATATCTTATGCTACAATGCCTGCTTAATCACTTGAACAGTTGTAAGCTCGACCACTGCCACGTTTAAGCTTCTTATATTTTCTATGTCTGGCTTTGCCTTGTCCTACACTGTGAACATGTTCAGTCTCCTGATGTATGATTTCTGCTTGTTGCCTGCACAAATTCATTATATAATCGTATACATATGGGAGGTTGAAAGCTGTGTGCAGCATGCACCTTGGAAAATCTCCAATAGTGCGGAAAACCTTGTTTGCAGGTGCAGCAATTTTAAGAGGTTGGTGTCTACCACTAATTCACAAGCAAGGCAAGCACAAGTCATTATTTATCTGATAAGTGTCTTATGAAGGATTAATTTAATGTTGGTGCTTCAACACTAATTTTTGAATAGAGTAGATCCTAATAAATGTTCTGGAGGTCTTGCCTTCAATTATTTCTATGGCCAGTCTCCATATAATCCTCTTACTGAAGATTCCACCGAGATAATTTACATGATTGATGAAGGGGTTATTCTGTCCATTCAACATAAGATCAGCCTCACGGGGCCTAAGTCTATTACAAAAGTAGATGACCTTACTCTTATCTCCATTGATATTTATGTTCCAGCACTCATAAGTCTCGGTAGCCCTGAGTTTCCCCTTAGGTTTTTGAGAACATAACCCTCTTTGCAGTGTCACATATATACATGCGTCATCAGCAAAGAGAAACATCCCAGATACTTGGTGTCTATCATTTATGTACAGGGTGTCCAGATGAAAGGTATCCAAAATAAAACATTTATATCTCAGAAACTAATCGTCATACATGTCTCCGGTTTATGTCATCAGAAAGGAAAACTCTGAAGGTTATTTTTCATGTCCAGCTTATGTGTGTGCGCCAGCCGGTGACTTTCAGCAAGCTCAGTAACGATGTCAACATCACAGGAACAGGATCAATTTGTGTTGTGGCTAGCATAGATGCAATCTCTTACAGCTGTCCAATGTTGTTTCAGATGCAATGTCGGCATCAGCCTCCTACATGGAAAAGCATTTGATTCTGGGACAAGAAACTGAGGACTACAGGTAGTCTGTTGGGTGTAAAATCTCATGGAAAGACACAGGCCTCTGAAGAAAATGTCAGTCGCATTAGAGAGGCATTCCAGCTAAATCTGTGCAAATCAATTTGTGCTGCTAGCTTGCAGTTACAAATTCCATGTTCAACAGTGCACATTGTGCTACAAAAAAGGCTCCACCAAAGAGCATACAAGATTCAAATGATTCATGCACTAAAACTGACCAAGTACCATGCATGTAATTTGCTGTGGACATGCTATAAAGAAATGACATGTCACCTGATTTCCTCCGCCAAGTGTGCTTCTCAGACAAGGTAATATTCCATGTCACTGGTGTTCTAAACAGGTACAACTGCAGGATTTGGTGGAGTCAAAATCCACATGTCACATGTGAGTTGGAGAGAGGCAGCCCCAAAGTGAATGATTGGGCCAGCTTAATGCACAGCAAGTTGATTGGACTGTTTTTCTTTTTGGAAAAGAGGCTAATCAGATGTAAATTTTGAGGGAATTTTGGGTCCTTGCCGAGTTTTGGTAACATAACTTTTGCTTCCTTTGAAGGCTTTGGAAAACAGAACAGCCGAAGGCAGTGTTTAAATAAATGTGTCAGATATACCATTGGTCTCCTTACAAGATGCCTGAGGCATTCGTTTGGAATACCATTAAGTCCTTCATCAATTTCAATGGATTTGCTAATTTATGTGTCACAAGGTCTTACTTTTCCTGACAGGCTGTCATCTACAGATAAGAGCAGAGCCTGGACTCTTGTCTCCATCCATTTATCATGAGTTTTCATCACACAGGTCACGAGATGTGAACTGGTTTTCTAAACAATCTGCAATCACATTGGCTTTCTCATTCAGGTGATATGTTATTCCTAAAGGTCCATGAACAGTGGTTGGTGCTTTTGGCCCATCCCTTTTCATAAGTGATTTTGCAGTAGGCTACAGAGTGAGAGGTGGGACCTCACAGTTCCCTACTTTTGTTTCCCATTGTTCAAGTGCCTTTCTATGGGTCATTCATTTGATAGTTTTGGCAACCCAATTAACTGCTGTTTTACATGTTGGATCCCAAGTTACTTGCCACAGTTTCCTTAACCTTGCTATGTTTAATCAGACTCTCCAGACTAGTCAGATCCTTATTAAGGTCTGAGTGAAATTTTCCCTATCTATAGCCTATACGAGGGGGTACCCAAAAGAAACCGAACTTATTTTTTTTAAACTTATTTATTCAAATTTTAAGCACAAACCTTCAATCCCCTTCAAAGTACTCTCCACTTACACTAATATATTTGTCGAGTCTTTTATTCCATTTTATAAACATTGTCTAAAATCATCTTTTGAGATGCTTGACAGCGCCTCCATCATTTTTTCCTTCAACTCAGCAACATCAGCAAAACGCTTTCCTTTCATGTCTCTTTTCATTCGAGGAAACAAAAAAATGGCATGGGGCAAGGTCGGGTGAGTATGGAGGGTGAGGAACAGGGGTCATACATACCATTTTTGGTCAAGAATTGTCAGCAGTTGTGGCACGAATTTCGCAGCCACCCTTTTCATTCCCAAATCTTCTGTCAAAATTCGCTGAACTGAGCTCCAAGTCACTCCCGACAGCTCCACACAATTTCCACAATTCCTTCGATCTTCCTTGATGATTTCACGAATTTTTTCAACATTTTCATGTGTTTGGGCCATGGAAGGATGACCAGAACGAGGTTTGTCATCAATTGACATTTCACCATTTTTGAAACGGGAAAACCACTTGAGTTTTCCCCATAGCATCGTCCTTGTACGCCACTTTTAACATTTCAAGAGTTTCTGTTCCACTTTTCCTGAGCAAAAAGCAGAATTTCACCGCCGCACGCTGTTCACGAAAATCAGCCATTGCAAAAACGACGATCACACAAAACAGTTGTCACTATAAACTCCGCCGAAACTAGTCCTTACCTTCTGAAGCAATGGTAGTCAGCTTATTGACTCAGGAATGTTAGCTCTATGCGCTCATAGCAGCAAAATGCGGTACTACAAAATCTCTGTCCACAAAAAAAATTAGTTCGGTTTCTCTTGGGTACCCCATCGTATGCTGAAAGTACAGGGGCAATAAAGCTATGAGCTACCTTATCTGCTTCTTCCCGAATAAATTTGGATTCTAGGGGAAATTAATTCAGAAGCCAGGCTTTGAAACCACTCCCAATCTGAATTTGTTAACTGGGTCTGCAATATCCATAGTTCTAACATGATCAAGCAAGTGGAAAACAACTGGTAGATGATGTGAGTCCAAAATATCACAGACAGTGACTTCTGATAGTTGGCCATTCTTCTGCGCAACAATATTTAGCAAGTCACCATTGCCTGCAGGAGAGTAATAAGTGGGATATTGTGGTGCTGAAATTTCAAACTCATTGATATGCAGTAAAGTCAGTAGTTTAGCATGTGAAGTGTTTGAAACTACATTATTCCAAAATGGATGCTTGGCATTCAGATCTCCTGCCAGTAGCAACTTATGTCCAAAACTAATTTCATTTCACTACAACTTATATATATTCGTTGCTGTAGGAACGTGTTGGCTGAGCTGTTGCTAGTCTGGCTCCACTGTTATGGCTTTCAGGCATAATGTCACATTTGCCCCCACCTTGAGGCTGCTTGTCCTGAGTAATCTACAGGAGTACTGAAAATTGTTGGGGGGGGAGGGGGAGAGACAGACAGTATGATGCTTTCGTGCGACTACTTTTATTTTTTTTAATTAGGAAAGTGAGCTAATCTTGCCCTCATATGAGAAATGCTAACCTCACTAAACATCAGGGAATATAATATACAGGTATCAAGTTATTCAGTAATCTTCCACCTACAATTAAAAGCTTAAATCACGATACAAAATTCTTAAGCTTTATGGATATCTTCATGTGAAATAAGTGTCTGTACATGTACTATGAAGTGTTCTACATCATTCAGTTTAGCCCAAAGGATCTATGGGACACAAATGAACTCAACTCGACTCTACCCAGCGAGATGGTGGTGTTTTATTTAGACATGCTCAATGACAGCTTTGGACAAAAAGTGCAGACAGGATGAAAGACCTGTACAACACAATGATTCTGCTGTTCCCTGAACCACTCATCACAGTAGTTCATCTTCTGGTCACAAGCAATAATATGCTGATTGACTTAAACTAAACATAACTGACAGGATAATTCCCAATACTCATTTGTTCAATAATTGCAGTCGTGACTGACTGCAGGTTTATCATGTTCCAGCATTACACATTTTGGTATGTGATCCAACAGTAGCATTTTTTTAACACACTATTAGTTCTATAACTGGGGCAATAATATCATTCCAATCTAAGAGAAGTTGCTTCATATTCGGCTTCATTACATTTAAAAGAGTCTTACCAGCAACAAGTATTCGATCAGGGACATGCATGTCAAACTTCTCATTTGCCAACATTGCATTCCAGTTACTTCCAGTGTTTTGATCATCGTCACTCTCTCCATCAACTCTAATTCGCTTTGGTACTCTCATTTTCTGACTTATATCTGCTGTAAAATTTGGGTCATAAAAATGGTCTAGTTCTCCTGAAAACCGGGTGGGGCTGGCTGCTTTCGACATCTGCGGGAAAATATCAAACAGAACATATAAACTGGACACTTTATCCATTAAAATCTTATGGAACATGCGACTGTTTACAAATTATACAATGAACATTGCACCCCTTCATATTACAATAAGGCAAAAAAAAAACTCATTCACTACTAAATGAGTTACCGGAGCGTGAGGTACGATCTGTCCACAAACATCGCTTTATTATTAATCGTTCCAGGGTTACATTCTGCCTTTAAACACTCAAGTAACAACTACAAAACTTACTCTGTGGCCAACTATTAACTTTTACACTTAACTGTGCACAAAATCTAAAATTGAAAATCTTCAACAGAATACTTGTAATCAATCAGTACACTCGTAAACATAACTCGTACCGACTCCTACTTTTTCGAAGCTTACACCACTGAACACATAGAGCAGAAACAACCCTTCTATGCCTTCTATCTTCTATCAGGAAGCAGCGCCAGCAGAATGGAGTAGGACCGGGGGGAACGAGGAGAACAAGAGAACGACGAGAACGTTGCACTCGTCGCGCTATCTACACCGATTTACACTACTCTTCACTTACGATCGGGAACGCACTGCTGTCGCTTGAGGTTGTGTGACGTCATCCGACTTTACTGCAATCTATAAACGTAACATCAATTAGATTTGTCCCTATAATCTAGAATCTAGAAATCTACGTAGAAAGTGTTCAATCTGTGGTTGGCTTACCATATAGTTTAGGTGGAATAGATCCCATCGTTTCAGAACAAAGTGCTGCTTCATAGTATTGTCACGTGTATGAGTGACTACAGACAGAGTTTGGATTAGTAATCGGATTAATTTAAATCTAATAACTCATAACTATAAGTAAGGATTGTGCTCTCCCTGTTCTGCACACTTCATAAATCACTGTAGGAAATCTAGGACGCTAATGAATCGCCCCCTCATGTATATTTTTGCAATATGAAAATTAAAGTTTCCACTTTTGTCGCAGCAGTACGACTGTGTTACAAATGTGGGAAATTTGGCAATATAAGTGAATTTTGTATGAAGGAACAATAATGCTTCTCATGCGGAGAAGTAAAACATGAAGGATCTTGTGTTAAAAATGCCTAAATTGTAATCGCAATCATAGAGCGAACAGCGAGCGATACCCAGTAATTAAAAGACAGAAAGAAATTAATCAAATCATGGCTCATAGAAATGTCGGACTTTCTAGAGCACGGAAAACTGTAGAATAATGGTCACAACCCTGGCGGTCGAACCCTGCGTTCTCTTCAGGTGCGAAAAGCCTGTGAGGGTACGTAGAACCTAATATGAGAAACTTCACCCCTAGTACTAAAATGCCAAGAAGACGAAGGGAATGGGATAACATAGAGCCAAGTGAAAGCATTAAAGTCCCGAGCCAACCGATCGGATGGAACCCTAGGAGAAGACAAAGGAAGATGACCATGGATAACAGCAAGACTCAAATATCTGAACCAAGCCCAAACAATGTAGAAAAAAGGAAAAGTTAAAAAGACCAGACAGTGTCAGAAAAATCTTTAGACGAGTTGGAGTCGATTCAGATGGGGGAAGTCAAGAATGTACTTGTGACAATAATCAACTTAGTGATAAACTCCGGAAAGGCTAAAACAATGGCAAGACACCTGTGGAAAGCCATCGAGTTACACGAGCAGCATTATAACATAATTCAACGGGATTCAACGAATTAAGATTCTTCAGTGGAACTGTAGAAACCTGAGAAGCATGCTCTCCAAATTCCAACAGAGGAGTCAAAACAGATGTCATAATACTCTCAGAGACCTGTCTTCACGAAGCAGAAAGTGTATACGTGAAAGAGTTTGACGTGGTGAGAAAAGAAAGTAACGAAAGGACAGGTTGCTTCATAAACAAAATTTTAAAATCTATTTTAAAAAGTACATGTACAAAATAGTAATAATATATTCTTAGAGTGAAGTCGAGAGAGATGTTCAAAAATCGCAGGGTGACCTCTATGACAGAATAATATGTTTTAAGAATATGCCAGGTATTGATTCCTATGACCTGATTGTCTGCAGATTCTTTCTTGACCGCCCTCGACGCCCTCGACTGACTGACTCTCTCGGTCGATTAAATTGCTACTAGCCTTCGGCAGCATAATCATTCCTGACTTCAGTCTCCTCGAGATCCATATTAGTTGCATAAAACTGTTGCCAGAGGTAAATGTTATACGATGTATCACAACGAATCATTTTCCGGAACGTAATGACAATCTTGCTGAAAGGGAAATTACTTTTTTAAGAAGGAAAGAGAGACGTTTTACAGTTACCTTTCCTGTATATTCTAATATTCTGTGACTCGTATCCTCTCGTATTAGTGCTGTTTCCGGTAGAAGGTGTTGTAATGGTTGTGCTTGTTCTATTTAGCTAAGCCCAGATCGGGGACTTGCACTGATACATTTGAACATCGAACAAATTGAGGAGAATATTTATGTAAAATGGGTTCTAAGGCAGAATTGGCATGCGTTTATTCAGCTCTAATTTTGGCTGATGACGATGTAGCGATAACAGTAAGTAATTTTTTCTTATGTGTGATTATGTGATGTTGGGTGAACGTTTTTATTTATTTTGTGATTTTGCTCATAGGGCGAGAAGATCCAGACGATTCTTAAGGCCGCGGCAGTAGATGTGGAGCCATACTGGCCAGGACTCTTCGCTAAGGCGTTGGAAGGCATCAGTGTCAAGGATTTAATTACGAATGTTGGCTCAGGTGTTGCCGCTGGACCGGCCCCTGGAGGAGGTAATGAATTTTAAGTGAAGGTCAAAACCTCAAATCCGGGGTCTATTTATGTATAACAGTTTTGATTGTGAATATTTGGTCGTGAGAAGGATGAAGTGGGTGGTCGTTATTATGATAACCACGAACTGCGTGAATTGTGCCTTACGTAGTATCGTTACATGAATGGAGTCAGAGGTTGTGTGGGCCGCGATATGTGGGAGAGACAGGAAATGCATATTGAGTAGACTTGACTAGGCGTAATGATCCGAACTTGTATATGGGATGAGGGTACTTGATTTGAATCGTGACTGGGATAACAGTTCTGTTGTCTGAGGTATGACATACTTTTCCTCCCCCCCGCCCCCACATAGACGCTGTACTCACTCACTACCAAATCCGTTGTAGTTCAGGTATTATCCTGATATATGATGGTGTGTACTTGATGCTGGAAGTGTTATAAAGCAGTGCAGAAGGAATATATCATTTGTTGTAGATTGGAGGTTGATGAAACTGAGGAGTGCACCATGACATTTGTTATTAGAAATATGTAGGTTCTGCCACTAGTGTTGGTACTACTGAAGTAAATTTAATAATAATAATTTTATTTAACATTCATCACACTTACAAATTGTAACTCTCGAACAAGTCACATACATACACAACTTTTCCAGTCTAATTGGACTCCTGCCCAATCAATTGAATGTCATCAAATATCACTATAACATGACATTCAGTTACAATTAAAATCACACTCTTGGTATAATTAGAATATATTAGGTGCAGACAAGTTTACGACTACCTTCCATTATAAAAAAACTAGGTCATCTTACTATAAACATCTTAATTACCACCGTACTGACATAGGATTGCAATTTTTTTTATGATGATAAAGTCAGGATTTATGAACTTCTTTCTAGCTCCTGTTCCTGCAGCAGCTGCAGAGACTGCACCTGCTGAGAAGAAGGAGGAAACAAAGAAGAAGGAAGAATCTGAGGAATCTGATGATGATATGGGCTTTGGTTAGTATTCAGTTTATTACATTAAGCCATGAGAAGCACCGTGACACATGATATTTCTTTTTATACTTGTTAGATCTGCTTTCACTCCACAAATATATGTATGGCCCAGGGAAATCTTCAATTTTATAATATGTTTGATAATACTGATGTGGTTTCTGTTGGAACTGTCCATGTTGAAATATTACTGCTGCTGCTCAATGTAGAGAATGAATGGTATGTGGTAACAAATCACTGAAATATGTTTATGTAAGTTTTCAAGTTCTTTGGGGGGGGGGGGGCAGATTGTAAAATCAGATAATTTGTGTTGGGCACCCTGTTTCATAGTGAAATACAAGGTGTTTCAAACAGATTGTGTGAAATGTATCCCATGTGTTGAGGGGTTTGAGATGACAAATATTTTCTGTGAAGTTAGGTCTGCAGATGACTTCTGAATGATTAATGGCCAGATGTGTTTATTGATCATGTTTCACTTTGGATCAGATCAATGTGTACTGGACTCTCTTGAACACTTGAGACATGCTGGAATCCTTTTGACGCAATTTTGGATCCTCTACTTCTCAGTATGTACTACTTAGATTTATTCATGTCTCCATAGAAGGAAACTTGTGGGATATAGATGAGGTGGCCATACTTGTCCACCATGTCCAGTCTGATGTGCAAGATGACTAGTATTCAGAGGGGCCTGATCATTAGCAGGGAAGTGTGGAAAAAAGGAGAGCACCCACAGTACCCATTGGATAAGAGGTGGCATGGGACCAGAGTTAGTCTGGACACTGCCCCCTGCCAGGAATTGAATGCTGGTTGTCCAGCCTGTAGCCTGTAGATAAAGCTGGCAGCTGTCTGTGCTTCCATTGGCTTCTTCACTGCGAAAGTTGTCAGTAAACACAGTTGCTCATAGCTCATTCAGAAGTTTTGTGTACCTATATCCATAGGAATGTATATTCATCTTGAACTGCCTGAATAAACATTTGATCCAGCCTTTTTGAAATGCTCCATATCATGAACCATTCAGCTTAGGAATGTGAAATTCTGCATCAAATGCTGTTTGCACATCAGTATTTACAGACATGGCTGTGCTGTGGTAAAGATTACAAATTTAACATGATTAGAATATGTTATAGTGGAAATTATTAACAGAAATAAATCAGTTGAATTGTGAAATTGCAGTACTTGACAGGTCTGCTGTATAAATGGAAGGGTTAAGGGAATAGGTGTCATAAATTCTTCCCAAAACTTCCTGTTTGAAACTCATGGAATGTGCTGTTTGGGTAATAACAGGCTTAGATAATGGCCATTTATTTAGCCAGAGGACCAGTTTATTTCTAAACAGTGTTATTTTATCCTCAATTTGACTATTGGAATGATTTAAGGAAAAATGGGGTTGCCTAAATCAGATTTGATACTGGTGTTCCCTACCTGTCTTTTTTCAAACTGAATTTGCTGTGAAATTGTAAAGGAGATTATATTTGGGCTACGTGGAAACTGCTATTTTTATTTTTTGTTTTATTGCAAACACTGTATGCTCTGAAGAATGCTATGCAAATTTACTTCCTTGTCTCTTGGGGCTCTCAACATTCTCTGATTCATTAGGCCAATCAGTGGCCAACTTGCCAAGTGGACCTAGCTGGACTCCACCCCCCACTATACGAATTTAAAAAGACAAAATTATCGTGATTCGTGGACTGATAAAAGAGCAGCAAATTTTCCCAGGACTGTTACCATATCTCATGTTGTAGGGTACACCACTCATTATTTTGTGTAATATGCAGTAGTGTATTTCATCAAGTACCCAGTGATTATATAGTATGTATTAGCTACTGATGAATGAAGTGAAGATGTATGTTGATGAGGGTACTTTGGATCTAAAGTATGTAACCACTGTTCTGATGTTTGTATCTGATGTGGCTCTTTTCTCTTTCAGGTCTGTTTGACTAATTCCAAAGGTAATTTGACAAGAAACTTTTTATTTTTGTACAGTTCTGTTGTACTTTGAGAAGAGTGGTAATAAAATATTGGGTTTGGTATCCACATTTTCCTCCTTAACCTCATGAGCATTCTTTACTAAGAGTTTGGAGCCTGAGAACTTCATTTAAGATGGATGCCATGGTTTTCAGAGCATGTAATTATATGGTGCCTAGGTATTTAGAGCATTATTTCATGACAAGGGTATTTTGTTCAGATTTGGATTTTTTTTTTATTTTGAAGAAAAATCGTATATATACAAAAATTGCCTGGGCAATACTTTCATTGATGCTACCACCCCTAACTCCATCAGTTCAGATCTTAACACTTCGCAGACCGGTGATTTAAATATTTAAATCACCCTGGGGACCGGCGTTTTTAAACCTACTACCCTAACTTGTGCACTGTTCACTTTAAAAATTAATATAAAATCTCCTAATTAATGTTATGAACTAAAATTTTTGGAGAAGACTTACCAGAGCTCCTAGAAGTGCTTCAGAGTGTGATATTTCTGGAAACATTCCCCTCTGTGAAGAGGCATGATGCAGAACTTGCAGACGTAGGAAGTCTTGCTTCGCTTCTTGTGCACAGCGCACACATGGCACTGCCTAGAAGGATACTTCCCCGTCGATTGTTCGCTCATCACAATTTTCACGAGGGTATGTTTCCGCATATCACCCGAGAGTCGCCCAGGGGGGGTCCATATGAGGCCTTCGTGGGGTGGGAGTAGATGGTCCCGGTTGTACTACGTCTGTGTCTGACGCAGATTCTGCCGCCACCATGAGGTTTGTAGCCCAGGCGTCTGCCACATTCATGAGAAATGCCTTGTATGTCAAAGTTGAATTTTCGTTTAGCTCTTTGAAAACCAAAAATGAATTGAAAAGGGCACAATTCATAAGCCACAAGGCAACTTTTTTCATCCATTTTACTGTTTTCCTAGGAAGGGAATAATAGGTCAAGTATTGGTCGGCTCTGTCAACTCCCTTCATGAACATATTGTACTCAGAAATACAAATAGGCTTCTTAAGTTGTCCATGTCTCCTTTGAACATGAACCATGCTCGAATTGTGAACTGTGGAAATCATATTCACAACATGAGTATCTCTATCTCCAAAAAACAGTTCAGCTACTTCAGACACTTGCGTAGGGTCTGATGGCATTTGTCTCACCTTTGGATCACCAGTAAACTTCCCAAAGTGGGTGTTTTGTCCACTTTACCCCATGTGGCTGTCCCCGCAATGCTACCGCTCGCACCTTCACTTTCTCTTCTGGTCACAATATTTTTGGAGCCACTGACACTGCCCTCGCTATCAGAAGACGAAACAGTTGGCAAATCAGATAACTCATCGGAGATCAAATCACAGATTTCTTCTCCGAGAGCTTGCGCAGCCTTCAACTGCTTTCGTCTCTGAGCCATGTTGACACTGAGAATATCTTGCCTCACACATGGAAGCTTCAACTTGAACAAAGGGACTTTTCTTTAGAGTGAGAGGGGAATAGAGAGTGGTCACGTTGCTGACTCGGAAAACAAACATTCTGAAGGTCAGCTACGCAGTACTTTTACAGACACGTGGCCACCAAAGCGAGGAATAGTGTGTTGCAACATAACGTGTCCTAAAAGCCTAAATCTAGGCGAACGGTCTGCCACGTTTAAAACCCAAACGTCTAGGCCTAGGCGTCCGGTCCACGAAGTGTTAAAATTGAAGAGATCTTCCTTGATATACCCTGTGCTTCTACAATCTATACTCAATATTAAGAGGTATGCTCTTAACAGCCCTGCTTACAGTGAGAAAACTGATTGCATTCTCAACTGATATAATATCTTAGTGCAAGAGTATAGCATGTAGTTCTTGAAAATTACAAAAGTAATTCCCTTTATTATGTTATTTTTTCCCTACCCAGACAATCTTAGTCACATCAGTAAAGTTACTTTCTAAAGGTTGATGATCTTGTGGTGTATGATGACAAATCCACCTAGGTAGACAACTTCTCTATACAGGCACTGCACAACTTCACAGTTCAGACTTGTGCAACTTTTGTATTCCTGCAGTTTCATATGATTCGCTTCTTTCTGGCAAGGGCTAAAGATTAGTGAAGCTATTTAATTGCAGAAAATAGGATGTGCAAACTGCTAGTGAATGGCATTAAAGATAGCTGAATTGGACACAGCAGTCATGTAAGTCTGAAGGTAAAAGGTAAAGTTGTCCCTGTGCCTAACTTAATGAAGCACTATGCCCTGAAGTATATGGGGGAGTGGATATATAGATCCACATTTTCTTGGCCTCTGCACTAGCTGGAGGTGAGCGGTCAGCTTCACTCCCCTGCTGCTTTACCCCCAGGAAAGAGCCTCCAGTACCAATTGTATAGGAGTCTGGGTGTGCCCAAAGCCAGCCTGGACAACATGGAGAAAAGAAAATCTTGACCCTACTGGGACTTGAACTCCTAGGTCATCCAGCCTGTAGCCAGTCACTGTACCATGTATCAAGTAGCACTAGTGCAAAGAGCCAGCTGTATTATTTCATCAAACTAAAAGCTTTGTTACAAGTTGAACTTAATATGCAAGTAGAGCCAGTTGGGAGCCTAGAGGAGGCATGAACAAACTGGAGCCCATGCTGTTTTTTGACCTGCGAATTGCTTGCTGGCTGGTTATGTAAGATGGCAGGGGGAGAAAGGATAATTATGTTTGGTTTTCACCCTGTGACCAATTTCTAGTGGAGACAGGGGACACTTCTGTAATAAATTCCTCTACATGTACCTGCAATATACAGGGTGTCCCAGGAGGAATGTACCAGACTTGTGGGGGGGGGGCTGTTCCTCATGTTAAAGTATGCCGCTATAACCCAAAACACCTATGTCCAAAGTTGAACGGTTACAGAGATAATGGCCAGAGAAGTGTGGAACTTTGACAGGTGTTACACACTTGTTGATTACCAAATACATATTAAAACTGGCAGGAATATGTGGTTTCTGTAATGTTAATAATGTACATAACATTAGACTAACTTGTGAGTGATGTGAAGCCATTAAATTGAACTACAGAAAACTCGCACGCCATGTCATAGTTGTCCTTAGCATTCCAAGCACTATGCATGAGACATCAATGGCAAGCACTAATGTAGCATGGCTGACTGTGCATTCTGGTATAAGCCGTAATCACCACACTCAAGGACAAACATTGATAAGACTTGTCAGCTGACAAGTACAGTGCGTGGACCCACCAGAAGACCACACTTTTCTTGGGCCATTATCTCTGTAACCGTTCAACTTTGGACATAGGTGTTTTGGGTTATATCGGCATACTTTAATATAAGGAACACCCTCCCGATGTCTGGCACATTCCTCCTGGGACACCCTGTATATGCATTTCATAAATATATATTTTTCTTACATTATTGTGCATTATAAGAAAAATATATAGTTTGGATAATACACAAATGGATATATATTGCAGGTACCTGTAGAGGAATTTATCTTCTATTGTGCATTGGGGCACTAGGCTACAAGCTGGAAGGTCATGGGTTCAAGTCCCAATGAGGTGGATTTTTTTTTTTTTTTAATTTACCTAATCCTTGCAGCTGCACAATGGTCCTGGGGTTGATTCAGCCTCTAACAGAAATGAGTACCAGGAATCTTCCTGGAGGGTAAAGGGTGGCTGGCTTGTAAGATTGAACCTTACCGCCATCTGTGAGCCGATTGTCTAGACAAAATGTGGGAGCCTGAGACATCTCACAACCCTGTGGGCCTTCATTGCCTGTTATAGGGATACATTACTTTTACCTGTTGTGCATTACAAAACATATGGCATTAATACTTGAATAGATGAGTAGTTCAAGTTTATCTTTTTTGAAGACATAGGCATCAGAAAAATAGAACTGTTTTAAGGACTCTTGATGGCAAGAGTACAATCAGCCTGGCAGATGGCTGTGTGACCTGCTGTTGAGCACTAGTCTAGTACAAGATGGCACTGGACTTCACATTGGTGCAGAAGAGTGCCGTATCATCACAGTCCTTGTGAAAGAGAAACCAGCAGCATTTCTTTGTAGGTTAATTGGACAGTGCAGTCATGTGGATGTGTCCATGATTGATATAGAAGTTTTCTGAAGGTTGTAATGAAGTGTCAGACCTACCACATGCTCATGTTCAGTCAACGGCTGTACTTGGTATGAACATTCAGTGTATCAAATAGCTAATTTTGGGAAACAGGTGAATTACAGTGGCATAAGTGTTGAAAAAAATTATCCTTTCAACACTTACTGCTCAAGAAAGTCTGCCAAGTGGGTTCCAAAGATGTTAACATTCAACCACAAGGCATAGCACGTTTCTGTGTGATGTGGGTTCACCGCTTCACTCCAGAATCCTGCATGGAATGGTGTCAAAAAAAGAGTTCAGGAGTGATTTACTTCCACGTGGTGTAACAATGAATGGACAGTATTACAGTAACTTGCTTTGCAGTGATGTGCACCAAGTGATTATGAAAAAAAAACCTGAGAAGCTGTCTCTAAGAAGGTCATCCTACTCCATGCCAATGCTTATCCATAACCAATGCTGCTGGCATTAATAACTGACCAGGATAATGGAAAAAAATGTTAGTGTAAAGGGAAAAAGTCTTCCAAGGCAGTGTATGTGATGATTCTGACATGTATATTCTTGCAAAAAAGTCCAGGTCAACCTTGAACCACCCTCATATCTAAAGTAATTCTATAAAAAGTTGTGTTCTGTATTATGTCTTGGCACACAAACCACTTTGTAAAGCTATGTCACTAATATTACATTTTCAATTTGAACGTAGAAGAACCCACCATTTCCTATCAACTTGCGGTCTTCTGGATTATGAAACCGTGGAATCCGGTAGGTGGTTGTCATTATATCAGAGTAGCATATATATATATATATGACACTATTCCTGCTTGGAAAGTGGAGGTAGTATGTTCATCTAGCATTGGGTAACCACCTATTATATTACATAACCCAGATCACAATGATAACTTATCCAGCTTCCATGACAGATTAGTGAACTCTGACCATAGAGTTTGGTTATCCTATTCTCCCACTTATGCATTGTGAAGCATGCTTAATATGGCCTGAAAACAGTAACGAACTTAGTAGAACTAAAAATGAAACCAAACTCAAATTTATTAACTGGATAAAATTAATGTTGCTGGATTTAGATCTTGCAGTGAAATCTGAATTAAGACAGGTCACGTAAATCAGAATCACGTGAATTGGGCTTCATACTGAAAACTCATTTTCCAAATTGTGTCTGCCATTTTTAGCCTACTTTCATTTTGAAAAAAATTAAAGTAGACTTGTGCAATCTCCATGCTGTCTGTGAATCCCCCCCCCCATCTTAACTTCTGAATGCCTCAACAAATCTTTATGAAACTTGGTATGTATATCATGGCACCTGAGCCCACTCAACAGTACTTCATAAATATCCCTTCGACCAGTCTGTGTATCCCTCTATCCTTGCTAGTTAAAAGGCTTGGTAAAGTGTATCTCTCCTTTCATTGCTAGGCAGTGGCTCAGTAAACATGCACCTGCAGCAACAAATACACAGAGCGAGAAGAATTCTTTTATGTCTGCAGGTCTGTGTATCCCTCTAGCCTTGCCTAGTTAACAATGCTGTAAATCCTGTGGCAACAAAGATTTGTTGGTGTTTTTTTTTTTTTGTGGTCTGTGTTGAATCGGAGGAAAGTTGGAGATTAGTTTTTCCCATAACTTCTTGTTTTTACATAGTATAATTAATGAAGCTTTCTGTTTTTCAGGATAAACTGCTGTTTATTCTGTTGAATTAATTTTTCTAGGTACACTTGGTACATTGGCCATTGTTTGATCTATTATACCAGCCCTGGATGATGATTGCGGATCAGTTGGTGGAATAAGAATTGGCAGGGGAAACCGAAGAACTCTAGAAAAACTTGCCCCAATTTCACTTTGTCCACCACAAATCCCTCCTGACCTGGGATCGAACCTGGACTGCCATGGTGGGAAGCTGGCAACTAACCACCTGAGCTATGGCACAGCACATTATTGAAAGTGAACCAGTGTTTCAGAGGAACATGTCACTTCCATCTTCACGGTCAGAGAATAAGCTGAGAAAGAAACCAGCATGAAAGCAGCTCTGCTTGCCACCTACTTTCACGCTGGATTCTTCCTCAGCTTATTCTTTGACGCTGAAGATGGAGGTGACTGACTTTCAACAGACTACATGGCATTATATGCCACAAGGTAGAATTCTTCAGTCACCACTGTGAGAACCCGAAATCCGAAATAGTGTAATTGTTTCACTAAAAAACCTTCAGAATTCTTAATATGCATAGCAAGAAGAGAGCTACCAAGAACTTGTGGCTAATGTGCTAGACTAGTCTAGATTGAACTGCTACAACATAGCAACAGCACCAACACAGGAAGCAGCCTGTACATATACCTTTCATAAGAATAACCCAACATACATCACATACGGAATAATGAGCATAAGCTCCATAAGACATTACTAAGGTCATGACTAGACGACCTATCCCATGTGAGAAGATTCCAATACGTGGGCACCCCACGCTGTAGTCGCTTCTACCAGCATAAAACCAGGTCAACACGTAGTGGTCACAGAGTTTTACCACAAAAACACTATTTTATTTTTAATTTTTTAAGCTTTATATCTTTAATTTTAAATTAAATATTGTTTAAGGATTTTCAGTTTTAAATTTTGACCTAGACTTTATATATGAATTTATGTGTTTAAATAATTTCAAGACTCAATAAGGATCCTTATTTGAAGTATTATATGATAATTAATTACAATTTAACAGCTGAAATTAGAGCATTGTATGATGACTCGGTGTAAGGGTCAAAACAGTTTACATCTGTAAAAAACATAAATATAAGCAAATGTTGATGCAGTAGTGTCTTCTTTGTTTTTAAATACAGAATACTGTGTAGACTGCATACCTTATGTACTTTATATCTCTTGTTCATAGCACACAATAGGATGCACTCTATTAAGATACTTATCATATATTATACCAATAGGCATGCGCACCATACCACGAAGTCCTATACAGAACATGGAGGTAAACCAAAACATTCCATTCCTTCTGTAGATTGAAATGAGTCAGCACCTTCATGCTTTAGCCACATGTAAAAATGTGGAGCTAACCTCAGTCACTGGATAGGTCTAGTGACTGAGGTTAGCTCTTTTTGGACCCAACAGTGCAGGTGCCTCCCCTCCAGCTTAGGACAGAAACAGATCCAGTTTCTGAAATGTGTGAGAATACCAGATGATGGACAAAGTCCAAAAAGCCAGTAATCCTGAAAACAATTGTTTATACTGAGAAGCAAATGGAATCTGTAAACACACCTGTGCTGAATTATTGCATGTTAAAGATATGTACTTAATAAAACAGAAGGCATTAATTAGNCGGTTGCGTAATGAGTGCCACGTCATCCTGTTACGTCACCGCTGTTGACTCGCATTGCGTAGTTACCAGGTTACGGGGGCTCGGTTATCTTCGGCTCCACTCANGTAAAAAACATAAATATAAGCAAATGTTGATGCAGTAGTGTCTTCTTTGTTTTTAAATACAGAATACTGTGTAGACTGCATACCTTATGTACTTTATATCTCTTGTTCATAGCACACAATAGGATGCACTCTATTAAGATACTTATCATATATTATACCAATAGGCATGCGCACCATACCACGAAGTCCTATACAGAACATGGAGGTAAACCAAAACATTCCATTCCTTCTGTAGATTGAAATGAGTCAGCACCTTCATGCTTTAGCCACATGTAAAAATGTGGAGCTAACCTCAGTCACTGGATAGGTCTAGTGACTGAGGTTAGCTCTTTTTGGACCCAACAGTGCAGGTGCCTCCCCTCCAGCTTAGGACAGAAACAGATCCAGTTTCTGAAATGTGTGAGAATACCAGATGATGGACAAAGTCCAAAAAGCCAGTAATCCTGAAAACAATTGTTTATACTGAGAAGCAAATGGAATCTGTAAACACACCTGTGCTGAATTATTGCATGTTAAAGATATGTACTTAATAAAACAGAAGGCATTAATTAGATCAGTTCTTCATATGTAGAGTAGAGTGGAGAAGAGTGTATTTGCATTCCTCAGATCCTTTAAACTAAACCAAAGGATGTAGAATATGTCAGAATACAAGTACAGAAACTTATTTCACACACACACATATATATACATACATACATATATATATACACACAAAGCTTAAGAATTTTTATTAGAGGTACAAAAATCTTACTTCCAAGTACAGATAGGCATAGAGATTAAAATTTTTCAATAGAGGTAAAGTCATATACAGAGTAGGAGTGAGATAAGAGGTAATATTTTAATGGAGATTTGAATACTTTTATACCATGATTTAAGCTTTTAACTGTAAGTGGAAGATTACTGAATAGCTTTGTACCTGTAGAGTATACTGATATTTAATGAGGTTAGCATTTGGTATGTGAAGGATATATATGTACATCCTCTGTTTAACCTTTAAGAGTCGGCATTTAAACCCCCCACGACTGCGCTGCTGCCGGAGTTAATTTGACGTTGCCCTTTTAATATTGTAGACTTTCAGAAAAAACTACATATTTTCCGTTCTATGCAGCTTAGAATTACGAACTAAAAACCGCCTGAAAGAGAATGAAATTTCCTACAATATACCTAAGGCAATTTTTACAAATAAATATTAACTGTGATTGTTATGTAATGAAATTCAAAATATACTCTCTTTTATATGTGTAATGAAATTCCAAAAGACTTACCCATAATTTTTTCTTCAAATTTGAGACGTCGTTATATCCAAAATACATTGACACTATACACCAAAATGTTTGGTCAGACTGTACACGAGTTTCAACTCGTTGCGTCGTGTAAGTTTACGCTACTATAGATACTGCGTGCGGGAGCGCGGAGAGGCAGAGTTTGCTTCAGCGCGATGTGAAGGTCACACAGACCTCACTTCTCATACGCTGGTAGACAATCTGGTTCAGTCTCTCGCTTAGCGAACAAACAGGAAGTTATTGTTTCTATCTGGCTGGCCGGACAGTGTTGTCAATGTTCAGTTCCAGATGACTCAATGAAAAATCTTGGCTTCCCCAGAGAAACAGTCCGCCACTGACTCACAAGCTGATAATTCAGACACTCACTAAACACGTCACACTTCCTTGAGAGCTACAGAAGCAGTGATCTGCCCGCACAGAGGAATGTTGGGTCAGCTTTTCTGTGAAGAAGCTTCCACTCTGTTTGGCTGACCAAGTCACAAACAGTCTTACCTACATGTAAACGAAATCGAACCCAGTGCCATGATGAAGGGTTTTATTGTTCAGAGCCAACAATTGGACCTCTGACTTGAACTTGCGTGTGTTTGTTTTGGTTTCAAACTCAACGTCTAACCGGCAGCACTTCTAAAGTGAGCACGTGTCTTGCGTCCAGTATACTGGACTTTCGGCATCTTCGAGGTCACAGGTACCGTCCGGTATACCGGACTTTCGGTCGTTAAAGGTTAAGTTGTGTACATATGTATTTCTTTGGAATTTTTCCAGGTTTTCCACCACAAATGATAATACACAAAAAACACATTCACTTGCAAGTGGAAGTATATTAAATTTCTAAAATAATTTTCTATGTACATGTCAACTAGCACTGAGAGAAAAAATTATACCAGCAGTGATAGGATATAGTGATAGTGGTATGTACAAATAAGTTTAAAATAAAAATTCAAAGAAAACTGAATAGTGGAAGGAAATGATAGGGTGATATTGATGATACAACTCACCCCAAAATTTTTGAAGTGTGCTGTGTGAATGCCACATCAGAATTTATTATAAAAATTACACTGTCTTTATATAGAAAATTTTGAAACAGAAAATGTTAAAACTATATTTTCAACTACAATTACAAACTTCAGCATAATTTACCAGATAGCTCTCTGTACACCTGCCAACTTATTATAATCTGCAAGATGTCGCCACACAATTCTACTAAGCCTCCACTTGAACACGACACCTCTTGGTCTTGATGTTATAGCACAACGATGTCTCACACGAATGTAATTAGAATCACGTGGTAAAGCTGCAACTTCCTGATCAGCTACCTCCTGAATGGAAAAGAAAATGTTTATTACAATCAGAGAAGTAATATGGGGAAAAGAAATTTTGGAAGGGGAACATATAATACTAAATAATCTCAAAATGCTGGATCTCATTTTCATAATAATTAGAAAATGCAGCAGTTATTTGTTATCATGATTAACATTCACACAGTGTGCATGGTACTGAATGTAGATGTGTATCTGGATTAGTCATCAGACTTTGGATACCACTGAATTCAATAGTTATAAAATTAACTCTACTAACTCCATTAAATTTTTAGGTATTATAATAGAATCTTCATTGACATGGAAAGAACATCTTGATTATATAAATTCAAAGTTAAATTCATTAGGCTACATGGTTCATTCTCTCACACCTGTATGAGAATTGAAAATCCTGAAACAGATCTACTTCTCCTATGTTCATTCAGTGTTAAATTGTGGTATCATGTTTTGGGGTAATTCACCACACAGTAGATCTATTTTATAACCCAGAAATGAATTATAAGAATTATCATGAAAGCCAAAGCAAGGGATTCCTGTAGGAAAATGTTTAGTAAATTTGGAATTTTAACTCTTTACTCCCAATATATCTTTTCAACTCTTTTGTTTCTTGTAAAGCATAAGGATTTTTTCACAATAAATACTGATTTGCATAAAATATATACCTGCCAAAAATTGGACTTTCATGTTCCTTTAGTAAATCTAACTGAAGTTCAAAAAGGAGTATATTATTCTGGTATTACCTTATTGAACTCTCTACCCCCCAATATCAAGCAAGTTGCACATGATATTAATCAATTTAAACATAAATTGAGAAAGTTTCTTACAGAAAACTTTTTATTCAGTTGAAGAGTAGCTTGATAGGAATAATAAATTTGACCTTGGTGTATAGCAGTAATTATAGCTTTGTATTTTAGTTTCATGCATTAGTTACTTATATATATATATATATATAAATTGTTATTTAAGGCACAATAGATCGCTGTGGTCACGGTGTAAGGGCCAAGAAGGCCCACCCCTTATACATTCAATCATTTATTTATTTTATGTTAAGATAATCTTATGTAAATATTGGTGTAATCTGCTGACAATTTCTATATCCAATGGTCATATACCTGAATGGATCAATGAATATTAATAAATACAATACAATACAGTACCCAGTATTTAAAAAATCAAAATATGAAATATGATCAGACTCAGTCTGTCATTCAAGAAATTCATCCAAACAAGATAAAATAAACAATGTGTGTCATATTCAGAGAGGAGTCTCACTGACAGATCAGTTCCTCATTTACAAACTTTCCAGTCTGTGTCACCAAATGATTCTCAGGTCTCTCCCAATTTGTGATGGACAAAGTGGAGCTGGGGCAGGTTTTCCCCGAGTACTTCGGTTTCCCCTGCCAATCCTCATTCCATCAAATTCTCCATAAGCATTATCACCAGTACAGGTACAATAGGACATATTGGAGCCAACATGCCGAGGGGACCTAATATGGATTCTACCTCACACTATGTGAAATCTTATCTACTGTAATCTATTGTAAACAATTTTAAGTATTGTAACTTTATTCTCTTATTGTAATCAGCCAATGTACAGTAACTGACTTGTCCTATATCATGCAACGATCTATAGAGACGAAATAAATAAATGAATGCTATGGCAATACTTTTTAATAGGTCTCAACTGCCTCCACCAAAATCGTTACATATTCATCATCTTCCCATTTCATTCATTTCATGCAGTTGAACATTATCATTACATGACCCAAAGTTCAAGCAAACGAATATTACCATTTAACGTTTATTCTCTTTTTACTTATATAACAAATACCCTATGATACACTACAGTACACCTTAATACACAGATAAGCTCTATAGCTAAATAATTATTTGTCCATATATGCACTGTATACATAGTCACAAGAATAACTCGTGTACTATAAGTAAAGTAAAGCTATCCGTGTAACAGGCCGTGAAGGCCCATAGGATTGTGAGACGTTGAGGATCCCACATTATCTAGACAATCGGCTCAAAGATGGCGGTAAGGTTGTCAGCCTTAGGCGCCGGCCGCGCTTTACTCCCCAGGAAATAAATTTAATTAATTAACAAAATTAATCTAAGCGCTACAACTATTTTACCCGCAGTTCCTGAGGCAATATATCATTTTTCCGTAAAGAGTTGATTCTCATTCTTTCAGCTCCAAATTCCTTCACTGTTTTCCTTCTCTTCACATCTTTCATCATTCGCCAATCTGCATATTTATTTCGAATTTGCTGACCCTGTTGACAAGCCACACTTTTTCTTAGTAAGAATGTAAGGTTATGTTATTCAAGCATTTGTCTCTTCTGAAAATAATGTAAATTATAATGCAGAATTTAAGTGTAAATATATACAGACATACTTGACTGCCAGTCAGTTTTGGACATTTTACCACGAACTGTGATATAGTTGTTACAATTCCAAACATTGTCATGATTTATGTTCGTTACGTATTGCACTGAGTCTGTACCCGTCCGTACAATCGATACGATCGATACCGATCGATACAATCCGTTCTCACCCGTTCCCACCGGGTGCAGGCGATGCTGAGCGGTGCTGGACGATTATGAAGTTTGGAACATATGCGCCATTCTGTTTGAACTCAAATTATAGATTTCATGTGGTAATCGGCGTAAATTTGTGGTTAAATGTTCACGTCGAGGTTAGGAGGATGTTCTCAACATGTTCATATTTCGCGAACAGGTGTTGTAGACGCTGAGTCATTTATTTGAATTATTAACTGGCCACAAACACTTGCCACTCTCCTTTCCAGGACTTCGCATTTTTGGATAATAAGGTAGTAAAATAAATGAGCCCATTAATATTTGGCCTTTTTTTTTACTGAAATTCATATGCCAGTGTAGTTTGCATTCATCTTTTCATTTTCCCGTTATAACCAATGAATTTCAGAAGTGGCAAATTTAGAGACTAAATATGTGGATCAGGGTAACTTTTACTCAGACCATTTTTGACGCTTTCCACGCCTAGCATTCTCAGAAATTTCTGCAACCAGGACATGTAGGTAATTTAAATGCCACCAGAGGCACAATCTGAACTGTTTTGCGCAAAAAAATTTGTTCTACAAAGGCATAAAATATACTGTACTGTACTGTACAAGCAACGCAGCACGCATATAAACTGCACAAGCAAAAACAAGAACATGTCACCAAAAGGGATAGACGACAATATCCACCACCAAGGAAGATAAAACATGATCCATATTGGTTCAGGAACAAACTTCTTAACTTAAAAATAAGTTTTTATACAATCTCATAACATAATTTTAATGTAAAGGAAGGCTGCTGTGGTGAAACAAATTGAATTTTATATGCAGTGCAGTGAAAAACTACATTTTTTAAACTATCCTTTATGGAAATGATTGCAACTACGTCACTTCTAAGTAATATACTTCAAGAATGTTATTATAAAAGTTTACGTCAAACATCTATTTCGATATTGGAAAATTAACAGCTACATATAGTGAGCATCATAAATGTTTTAAGTATATATGGTTTTATAAAAACATTTACGTATTGGTGGATTCCTGATCATAGTGGTATACCTCCGATGATGATTCATTAAGAATCAAAACATGTTAGGTAACTAAGTGCTGAAGTGATGAAGGCATTATATGTCACATTGGACTGAAATAAACTTAATTGTAAACTTAATAATGTGACGGACCAGAATGAAACAAATCAAATACATGTATGTTCATTTCTTTTTATGGCTTTCACTTACTTGTCTATACATACAAAAAAACAGAAAAGCAATGGCACCTACACTAAAAGTTCTAAAATTCTGGAGTGTATAGTATCATTCAAAACATTCCCACTGACATTGCTAGTTAAAAATAGGGTTACTTCCTGGCTCCCTTGGCCTGCAGATTGCTCCCCACAGCGCAATTTTTGTGTCTTCATCTCAGAATGGTAAGTAAAGTGAGGCAGTTTATTTAATCTCTATTTTCTGTCAGATATTCTTGAGATGACCTCTTTAGGTTGGTTATATCACCTGCTGGATTTCCAGCAAGACCTCGTTGATATCCAGCCTGCAGCATTGGTTTCAATCTCATCCGTGCTCTCTGACTGCAGCATAAAATGTATGAATTTACATTGAGCACCTTCAGGCACCACAAGAAGACTTTTTTTGCACCGCTTAAAGGTTTCCAAATGAAAGCATATGTGGTGCAGTAGTGATAACTGTGATCTGTAGCACCCATATGATTTATATAGTCAAGTATACATGGGATTTCGAATTTCTTTCGGTTACCCCCACCCACCCTTGACTGTGACAACTTTTTACCATTGATGTGTTATGATATGTAGACAACATGAGCACTGCCCTCTTGTCTTCCCAGTCAGAATGCTCCCATTTCCATAGGCACAAGTTCCACCACTCTTTATTTTCTTCATGGTCTCCTGCCTCACTGCTTTTGGATTGCCAACTCTACCAGTAGAAGGGGATGTATTAGTGTGGTTGGTTGAGGCACCATGCTATAAGCCAGAAGGTTGTGGGTTCGATTCCCAGTGGGGTCATTGCTCTTTTTTCAGTTGACATAATCCTCCCAGCTGCACTATAGCCTTGAGGTTGAATCAGGCTTTAACAGAAATGAATACCAGGAATCTTCCTGGGTTAAAGGACAGCTGGCACATAAGGCTGACAACATTACCACCATCTGTGAGTCGATTGTCCAGCAAATTTGGGGCCTCAACATCTTACAGCCACATGGACCTCCATGGCCTGTTACAAGGATAACTTCACCTTTTTTTACTGGCAGTAGTAGTCCTTGTTGTGTGGAATTTAGACTGTTCAATTCTTGGGCCAAGTGAGCACTATTATAATACTTACCAGTGAAAAGGTGGTAGCCTTCAACATCAGACACACCGAGTCCTAGTCTATTCAGCAAACAGAGAATTATTCTTGAAGTGAATGGAAACTCAGAGTCTGGAAAATGACACTCTTCACCCTCTTCACCTGTATGTTTTCCATAATGTGGAATTATACTTTGACCATAACCAGTGTCACTGCCAGCTAATACAATTGCCCTTGAAACCAACTGTTGATTTGTCTATTGCAGTGTCTTTACCTGGCAGAAAAAATATCTGAAACTTTTCTTCTATGTAAGTAGGTTTTAAGGGTTCTGTGTTTTTCTGTACCATCACTCCAAATACTTCTTTGATCTTTTGATGGCCCTCTTTCTTTCTTCAGTGGTATCGTTTCCACCATGCATCATCTAAAATATCTGTTAAAAGCAACCTGTAAACATTCTGTCATCAAAACATTTTGAGTTGTCCACTTGCAGGACTGATAGTCTTTTATATCAAGTAATAGTATATTATGCCTGTCTTTATAATTAGACCTAAAAATGCCTTTATTCTGGTAATACCTGCTTCAGACCACTTATTCCAAATGGACCTCAATCTTAGCTGAAGTTTTGCAATTTTGTCTCTTGCATACCTATTTGTTTTGGTAACAGTGTTCTTCAAAATCTTATCATTGAAAAATAAACTGAAATAATTCATGGGCTCTACATCTGGCAGAAGATTCAATTTGGACCTTATGTTCTTAGTGAAGGTGTATTCCTTGGGATTCTTATCACTAGGTCCTGGATCTTTATGCACTAAAACACTTAAAATATGCTCTAAAATGTGGGAAATTATGCACCAAAAATAAAATAATATGCACCTAAGAAGCAGGTCACTTTATTCAGACTAACCTATTTACATGTATCATTCACTGCAGAAAGTAGCATCACAATAGGCAACTAGAAGTCTTTCAGTGTTTTCTGGAGACAAACTATGTCTATTGCCCATCAAAAATGAATTTATAGGCTGAGAATGATCTTTCTACATCAACTAACGTGATTGGACAGTATTTATACACTGGCGCCGAAGGTTTGGAACATTCATCTGGCAAAGATACCCTAATTCCAGTCAAGTACTGACTAATTGACTGAATCTTTTTTAGTCATGGGTTTGAATTCAACACCTTTTCTAACCTGCATTTAATCTTCTCTCCAATTTCGTCTGGAGCGGAATTCAGTGAACAAGTTGCTTTCTGAACGAGTTGAAGTGAGTCATGAAGGAGTGCACCACAAGATTCTAAGCTAAGCTTTTGAAACTGTAGAAAAATGTGCAGGGGTAAAATTCACATGTTGATAAACAGTATCACTTTCAAACACCACTTTTGCTTCACGGACACATGCATACTCATCTTCAAGTTTTGTAACCACTTCTTTTACTTGATTGAAATTCTCCTGATAAAATGAAACTGCGGATATCCATGTCCCCCACCTAGTTAGGACAGGTTCAGGTGGCAGAGGAACCTGAGGTAGGTACAGTAGAAAGGAAAAATCTGAAGAGGACTTATATGAATTCTTATTATATTTGTATGGGATGTATGAAACCATAACAGTATTATATGCAGCATATTTAAAATAGAATTCAAAATAGCAGAATACTGTATAATAAGTGTAAGAACTATATAAGAGAGCAAGGCAAATCATAAAACTATTTACCAAATTGTATGTTATGTAATTAAAAGGGTAGTAAAGATTTGATTAAAGTACAAAAATACTGTATTATTTGAATATCAGGTATGATATTTATTGTACATGCAACAGAAACCAGTATTTATGAATGTGTCGTTCTTGTATTGTACTTCTATATTGAACTGTAGTACCCTTTTATGAGAAGCTTGCCAGAGTCATTTCAAAGAGATAGTTGCCTATAATTTGTTTTATGCAGATAAGGACTTTTTAAAAGTTACTCAGCCTGCAACAGTTACCTTCCTATTATGAAGTTCAAGCTTATGAACATGTAAATAGTAGTCACTCTAGTTATTGTATAAGTACTCACTGTATCTTATCATTTAATAGACATTTTTCTTTTACATAGGGTGGGGTTAGTAGAGAAAATCTCTTACCCAGTTCTGAGGGACAGGCTCATGCTGCTTGTGTGATGTGCATGTTTGGATCCACAGTGCAATTGACAAGGCAACAGGCCAACAGATCACCTACAAAACCCACACAGATCGCATCAGATGCAAGAAATGGTCTCTGTTATTACATGTGTGTTCCTTGCATCGCTATGAAATGTTCACACATATACAGTGAACATAGCAGTGGAGATGAAAAGTAAAAATTCCAGTTCTAATGCATTTTCAAACTGAGGAATCATAAAACATGGTGTTCCACAGAGATCAATTTTGGGCCCCTTACTTTTTCTTCTCTACATAAATGATCTATCAAAAACCATCAATAATAAATCTAAACCAATTCTATTTGCAGATGACACTAGTATAATATTTAAGAACTCTAAAATTGAAGACTTTAAAAATGATATAAATTTTGTTTTTGAAGCTTTAAATAGATGGTTTGAAGCCAATAAACTCTCACTAAATTTTGTTAAACCCATTACATACCATTCTTAACCTTTAAGTGCCGAAGTGCACCGTTTGTTCCAGTCATGAGTAAGGTCGTCATGGCCAAAGTGCCCCATTTGTG